AGAAATATCAGCTAGGTCTAAACTCCTTATTAACATGTTAACAACTCTTTTTAAATCATGATTCTGCTATTATTGAACAAGACAGTACATTCTCCTTCTCCAATTTCATGCACCCAGAAATTAATTCTAATTAGTAGTAACCAGAAAATGATAGGGATCTGGATCTCTGCTGACAGTACTAACAAGGTAGCTGATAATCACATCTGCAAACAAATTTCCCCATTTCTCAACCCTTCCACAAATAGCCCAGGTAAACAAAGAACACAGACCTGGAAGAGCAGAGCAGAAAAATCTTCCCTTTATTCAGCTGTGGGATAAGTTTTTCTCAGACCACTGTGCATCAAAACATGAGACCAATGCCTGATTATAAGGAATTCATGAAAGATCAGCAGCATTCAGACAGCAGAAAACAGAGATTTACCAGTGTTAATCATGTTTCAATACAGAATTAGATATTTGACTTCTGGTAGACATTGAATGGGTCTGATTTTCCAAGAAAACAAAAAATGTATCCTCTGCACTTTAATGGTAAAGAACCACAGGCAGACAGAATGACCCCTGATAACTGCAGAGCTGATTTTTGACCAGGAACACACACACACACCTTCCACTGACCATCTCATTGCCTCACTGATGAAACCAGGGCACCAGCCTCAGGGAATTCTTAAACTGGCCTCTTTCTAAACACATCTTTCTTCCCATTTCAAGACTCACTAATGCCACCTGTTAGTAGATTATCTGGATGGTTTGAAAGCCGTGCAACACACAGAGAAGTCAGTCAGTATGAGTGGTGTAATTTTATATGCTCTCCTCTTGGATTTTTCAACAGATTGGCAGTATGTTATCAGAGGGCTAACAATGGTTGGGTAATCACCCTTTGTGGCTGTTTGGGTACAAACTACACTTGTGGTGAGTTTGTTGACTTACCTTTGGCATGTCTGCATGCATATTAGACAAGAGAAACAAGAAATGACAACTCAGAAAACTATGATACTTTTCAGACAGAGAATCTAACACTGAGAAAAGTATCACCTACTCAATATTCATTTAAGTTTAAACCAAAAGGGAAGCTTTTTTTCAAAATGTCTTTTTCTGAACAGACCTAATAATGTTTAATCCAATTGTCAGTTTTTTCTTGCTCGCTATTTTTTAATTCATTCTTTGGTGAGCGATCCCTACTTTTCAATGGCAAGGTGAACAAGTTAAAGAGCGTGAAAATACAATGAAACTATTAGAAGTAGGATGGGCATTGCCTAAAGAAATAAACATTAATAATGTGAACAATAACGAAATGCTAATAGTGAGAAACAATAATTGAACTCTTATCTTGCACCCTTCAATGTACATTGAATTCTGATGGCTACTAGACCTACTACCAGGTATGTAGGTGTGTCACCTTATTTTATTTATTGTTTTTAAATCCCAAATAAAAATATTTTTATTTTGTTCAACTGGGAATCTCTCTTCTTTTTCCTTTTCAGTAAGGAAACATGATTATGTCAGGTCAAATATAAAAGTGCTTTGGTTTGTCTGCCAAAACTAACCCTAAAACATTTTGGAAGAAACTGCTCTATGGCAGTGAAGTGGTTTTACAAACCCAGCCATCAGTCTTTACTGCACCTCACAGAAACATCCTTAACATGAAGTAAGGAAAGGTAAAGGGCTGAATCTCCTCCAGGGTATCAAGAATTCACAATAACATTTCTTGCTCGGGTTACTGTTCTGCTCCGGGTGAAGGTAATTTATGGGAGCACGTGGATCAGTGTGGCCACGTTGCACTGCCTTTGCTGAAAGAATTCATCAAAGGAGGATCTTCACAGAAAAATGAAATTAAGTCAGCCCTGGGTAAGGGCTAATTTTCCAAAGAGAAACTCTTTGGAGTTTCAGATAGATCTTTTGGCAGATAGATTCTTGTGCAGTTTAATTTTTGTAGACTGACCTATGAAACTTTGCAGTTCTCTTCGATCATGTCACTGAGTCACTGGTATGACATTTTCAGCAGCAGTCTCTTGTAAAGCCAAGCTTTTCCAACGCTATTTCCTCCTTCATATCATGACAATCCTTAACAGACTGGAGCCGTTCCTTGTCGATTGACACGACAGGTCCTGTTGGAACTTTTCACAGCCAGGAAGTAGTTTGAGCAGTATTTTTAATACCCTCTCTCAGATTCACCAGCAAGCCCACAGCTCAGCCATTAAAGCACTTTCCCAGCCAGTGTATAAAGAAAACAGCTGTTTATTAGACTTGATTTCTGTAGTGTGTACAAACAGTACGGAGAGCAACAAAGCGCCTTTGCAGTGCACAAACACTGAGAGAGCAAAAAGAAACTGAACACAAGGCATTAAACAAAGGAAGGATGTGTACAATGGAACAGGCATAAGCTATTTATTTTTTGTTTGTTTTTCTTTTTATGCTAAAAATAGAAGACAATGCTTATCTTTGTACAGAGACTACTCACCAAAGCCTGAATAAACCGGAGGTCAAGAATATCAACATCATTAAAACTCTTTCCAATTTTCAGTTCTTTATCTAGATTCACTTTTTCCTGATATTACTTACTTCAGAAACTGAGCCCTCTCCCAAGGAAAAAAAAAAATCCAACAGAAATTCTCTTAAGTGAACATTTTAAGAGAGAAATGATCAGACCTAGTCCTAGCCATCTATCACAGTTAAAAGTGTCCTGAAAGAAAAATGTGAGACATTGAAGCTAAGAATTTGGTCAATCAAACCTTCAATAACTTTGAAGCTTTTTAAATTCCAGCTCTTGTAAAAGGCTGAACAAATTTCTACAATAACGTTTCCTAGCTATGAAACATCACATTGCCTGGAGTTACTTGGAAGGTACAACAATTAGCAACAAATAGAAAACAGTGCACATCCAGTGCAGGTCAGTTTAGGAGTTCTCTTTCTAGAATTGCCATTCACTTAAACAAATTAAATGTGCTGTTCTATCATGCCTTATCATTACACTGAAATTAAACCTTGAACGAAGTTTGTAACAAGACTGACACGTGGCAAAAATAGTCTGACCTTAACCCAGCACGGCTTCACGTTGGGGTTCTTTGTACTGTGCATCACAAGATGCTACTACTGCAAAAATAAAAACAGGGGAGTTTCCCATCATGAAATATGTTTGCAGGGTAAAGGCTCCTCTGTCAATGTACCACAAGTTCTTTGTAAGTTACCAAAATCTTATCAAGACAACGTATCATAGAACTTCAGGATAGATTTGCAGATACAAAGAAATGAGTATGCTAAGGCTTTAGGTATGTTCTGAAAACATCTACAGACATAAGAGTTGCAAGACGTACAAAAAAAATAGGAACTGTGCTGACTTAGAAGACAATATTTCTAACGTTGCTGTTATATTAAAGAACTTTTATTCAAGAAAAAAATTAGTTAAATTTTAATTCTTATGAGTTCTGTCTCAGCACAGATAATTTTAACTTCTCCGCAAATAAAATATTTCATTTTTACCCCCAAGAACATTTTGTTGGGCCTAAGTATAACAACAGCCTCCTGCCTGACCATTTCAGTGGTGCTGGGGAGCAGCTGTTGCCTCTGGAATTGGTAGCACCTGAACTTGGCAACAAGAGCTCTGTTCACTGTTCTGGGTGGGGTTAGCAATTGCCTTCACTAACTGGCACTGACATCCTCTCTTCCTACCAAAACCAGCTCCCTTAATGCACGTTGGAATTATATTTTCCTTTCTCACAGTCAAGTCCCAGTGACTCATGGTCAGTTTTGTTATTGATTACTACAGTCAAGTTGTTTTACCCTTGTGTCACTTCCAATTTATGAGCCCCATTTATAGAGAAATTCCAATCAACTGTATGACCTTGCACTTCATAGGAGATTTCTACCTGTTTCCCTTGCTGTATTTTCAAGGTGTCATCCAGCTCCTCATGTTTAATGGTTTGGTCTCCTCAGCATCAGTACTATGACCATGCTTTGTCAATCTTGTAGCTTTCCTGCCTGCTTCTTTAATGAAAATATTACAGTAATATTAGCCAAAATACTCTCCCCAAGGAACTCCATTAGTAAATTCTCTTCAATCTGAATGTTTCCTTTCCAACACTAGGAACTGTAACCTCTCTTTTGTCTAGTCCATCACACCTTACCTTCTCTTCTATTAATCCCCATTTTTTCTAGCTTTAGTAATAATTTATTATATGGATTTTTTCAGCTAAATCAATAATCTGAAGTCTCATTAGAAAGGTTTGTATGTCACAAGGTGCTTTCTGTAAGCTTCTGCTTTATTTTACTCAATTTTTCAGCAATTGCTCTATATTCATGTTTTTCCATCTAAGCTCACAAGGTTCATAAGAACACAGTTCACCCTGCCACCACTTTCTTACTTCACAGACATTTCTGAAAATGCCATCCTACATGTACCAAGCTATTTTACCTAGAAACAAACCCAAAAAATAATTATAACTAGAACAAGAACACTTCATCTTGTCTTTTCAGAGAAAAAGAATGATTTATGATGTGATCTAATAGTTTTAAACAGTCACCTAAGTCTCTAAGCAGAGTTATAACCCTGAATAAAATGGTTATTTCAGTGTAATGATTCTTGCTCAGCAATTAGTTGCAAATGCAGATTAGCAGAAATGCTCTGCAGTGTTCAGAGCCCATGGATGTGCTTGTCTGTGCACACACTGACATGGTGAAGCCTCAGCACCTGTCCTGTGGTTTTACAATCCTTATCCATTCTATAAAGGCCTGTAGCAATCAGATCAATATTTCCTGTGTAATTGTTATTGTTCAAACAGAGGGGCTCATAGGCACATATAGACCACTTATAGATCTCTCAAAAATGAGATCACTTTTTTGACCCAAAATGTACAGCTTAGCCCACCTGGAATAGGCAACAACTATACACAGCTTGAGTTCTAATCTTACTACTTTACTCTGTCTCACAAACTGTGTTGTACTGGTAACTTCTTCAGGTTTTAGATTCCTTCCTATTATGACTGTTGTTACAAATTCCATTTCAGAGGCACTGGAATCACAGAGTGAACACACCAGAACGAAGAAACATCAGAAAACCTCAGAAACCAGATTTCGACTCTATACTGATACAACTGAAGGCGACTGTCAGATCTTTTTAAATCAGCTGGAGACTCTTGAGAAATGCAGTTTCAATTCCTCCCTTCCTCTGGTGGTGATAGTCCACGGCTGGTCGGTATGAACTCACATTCTGTTTTTAATTCAAACTCCATCTGATCTGATACACTTTCCTTCTCATTACACTGCTGCCAAAAATATCTTCAGATATCCCGTTGGGATTACAAAGATGGTAGATTTCCCTGGTAGCAATCATGGCTAGAAATAATACATCCCCCACAGATTCTGAAGGAACAGCCTACAAGCAATTTTTCCCATGGGACTCCCATGCCAAGGATTAGACTCAGCCCCAGTTTAAAGCCAGCAGAGCTTGAACAAGTACATGAATTAATGTGCTGTGCTCCTGGAAGACTGAATACCAGTTTCATTTCCCTGATATGTTCACTGCCAGATATTTACAGACTTCTTGAAAAGTGCACACAATCTCCCCACACCTTTCTCACAGATACACCCTTAAAAAGAACTTCTCATAGCCCCTTGAGCTAAAAGTAAAGCCTTCAACATCAGTGAATTATAACTGAACTGCTTCCAGTTAAACTGTAAAAAAGCAATCCACCAGGAAAAACCTTTCTCAAAACCACAGCAATACCAAGAGCGACTTTTCATCAGCTTCAGTTGAAAAAGAAACAAAAGGCAAGAGAAGAAATTACATCACTTTAACAGGTCTTTGATTCTCACAGAGCCACTGTCCTTACCTAAGGTGGCAAAATGGATCTTCCTTGCACATCTTCAAATACTCAGAGAAACTCTGAACACCCCCCTTGATGCAGATAACTCTCTTAACAAACAAGGGCAGGGCTGACTCCAGATGAAATATTGCCTTAGACTACTTTAGCCAAGACTCACAAATAAGAATCTGTTCAAAACCTGCACCCCCCTCAAAGACAAACCACAGGCCTGAAGCTGCTGCCATTGAAGTTAATCATTCATATTAACTTCATTTGCAGAGGTGTTGGGTTCTTAGAGGAATATGCATGGAAACCCAGACCTGAGACTCCCAAATTCTGCTACACCAGAAGAGATAAGGGTATTTTATCAGTAAAGGAAATACATGCAACTAGAACAATTTAATCTGATAGATTAAATAATAATTCTAGTCCATCGGATCAGAAAAACGCTTTGATACAGAAAATTGTAATCAGGTGTTCAAAAAAGAATTACTCAAGAAAAGCAGCTCTCAAAATGGAACAGCTAGAGAAGATAAATGTTCGCTGGTCTGCAACCCTCCAGCTTCCCTCCCTCTCCAACTCTTTTACCTTACAGGAACAGCTTCTCTTGAATGAAATCAGAAATTTTCTGGGCATTTCTGTCTTTTCTTTTAATGACTAATAGCAGTTACCACCAGATGAGTTCAAATATTTTGGGACATCATTTTCACTGATAAGAGGTCATACTACAAAACATACATTGTTATAGAGTTCTTATATTGATTTTTAATTTTTTTGTCTACCAAACCCCAAAGATTCTCAGCAATAATCAGGCCGAAGCCCCTAAAATCCAGTTATCAGCATTAAATCCCTCCTTGTTCATATTAAGGTTTTTGTTTCTTTGAGCTTTTCACAAGAGATATTTGCCAGACACTATTTGGCATTGTTTTCTCATAACAGTGGTCTTTTTATTGTTTTGTTGTGTGTTTGTTTTGGGTTTTTTTTAATATAACAGGTGGATGGGATATTAGAAGGTTGGATCTGGAAAATGGCAGCAGCTCTGAAGGCTCATCATAAACCACTGAACGTGATTGTTGCAGACTGGCTGACCCTGGCTCGCCAGCACTACCCCATTGCTGTGCAGAACACACGCCATGTAGGACAGGAGATAGCAGAATTCCTGGAATGGCTGGAGGTAAGAGCCCCCACATCTGGAAAACGTTTCTTTGGAAAAGATTCATTTCCTTGTTCTTATGTTTCTACAAGCATTTTGAAGTACTATGCTGGCTAATGCTGTTCATTTCACTCACTCACATTTCTTTATTAAAGTGCAAATTTTTCTTCCATATAAACTTTGATAGGACATCATAAACTTTCACCATGCAATAGAAGAAAGCAAGTGGTCTTGCTTATTAAAATATTTTATATATCTTTAGAGGTAAGATAATTTCCTGCTATTTTAGCTTTTCCATTGGCATGTGTGTAGACACTACCACAGTCCCACCCTTTGAAAGCAGGCAGACATCATTTGCAAGCTGTTAGTTCAGCAAAATGGTTTATGTCACCTGTGCTTAACTCCTGCTTTTAATGCAGGATTCAATCATGTCTGATTTTTGCCACAGTTTCCCAAAGATTATGGTAAAGTGATGTAAAAGGAGACCTTTCCAGAGGACAGACATGCTTCACAAAGCAGATGACATGGAGGCAGCAGTGAGTGCAGAGACACACTAATACAGTGACTACTCATCAAAACTCCTGCTTCTTGGGGAGCAGTGGCCATGGCTGGATTGGAAAGGCAGAAAGCAAACACCAGAATGAGAATCACTCGGACAAATCAGGAAGCCTAAGCAACTCATATTGCATCAACCTCGAACACTAATTTAAGCTACCTAATTTGAAATGAAATCATACTTCTGTACCTGACAATGAATTTTTGAATACATTAATTTAAATAAGATGAGGCCTAAGGTGGAAGCTGAAAGATTTGTAGCAAACACCATCGAAGGTCTGAGCTGCTTCCGACTGGAATGGCAGAGCAAGAAGCTGCCAGATACCACACCCAGTTAGGGAAGACAGGCACAAAAGAATGGCAAAAGAGCCAGAGTCACTATTTTTCATTGAGACATTACAAGCAACTTTAGCTCTTGGTCAAATGCAGTTTAAGGTGCTGGAGCCTAAAGCGATTTTTGAAGCTGTTAATTATTGAATGAATCAAACGGTGGACTTTGTTCAGTTGCCAGGACACACCACACTGTCAACAGTAAAGGCTGTCTGTGATTTCTCTAGTGCCAACAAACAAATCCAGGCTTCAATAAATGACTCCTTGCCCCAGCACTGTAGGTAGCTTCTCTTGTACCATCATATGTTCCAGAATTTAAATATACTACAAATTTTCACACCATTAAATAGCTTGTGTTCAACCAGAAAATGTTAAACTGAGAAGGGGAGCTCAGGTTAAAAACCCCTTCATTCCAACTCCCCTAACTATCTCTGCTATGCTTACAGGCAGTCAATTATTTGAAATATTCTCAATAGATATAATAAAAGCTGCAGTGCTGCCCAACATTTTAATTAAGAACAAACAATAAGTAAATATTAGTGCTCTTAGTCCAAGAATTAATAGGGCAGGATCAGTAAAAACCTCGACAGCATCCATCTCAACACCACCTGAGAAGAAAACTGGTCAGATTCTGTGATTCCTAAGAGCTGCCCCTCTCAAAGAAACTTGCCAAGTTTCACCTCATCTTCAGAACAGATGGGTATCAAGACTGTACAACTCCACTGGGACAGGCAATATCCACAAAGAAATTAAAAGAGAGGTTTGCCTTTCCTGCAAGAAAAATATGCCATATTTTTCTTTACAAGTCAGAAAAACTTTGAGCCTTGCAGCTCAGGTGAAATGCTTAAGATATACATATACTGACTAGGTAGAAAGAAGGGCCTGAGGCTAATTCTGCTTCAATAGGTTTGTTTCAGATCAGATACTCAGCTTTGTACAAATCAGTCCAAGAAATATCACTGCCAGATCACTTAACATGTCTGATCAATCTTTCAATACCTTGTCTTCTCGTTTACCTTGTGCTTGTATCTCAGGTCAAAACAGCAAGGCACTTCCTATGGAGGATTGTTTTACCCTGAAGTTAAAGGACAGATAATCATTTTACAGTCACAGGAAAGTCAGACGCTGCAGACAAAAGGCAATGCACATTTGCATCACTTGCTACAAACAACAACAAAAATCCTACTCTCTGTGTTGGTGGTTTTCCTGTAGTAGGAGGAGGTTTTCTAAGTAGCAGTGCGTAAATATGTGGCATTTTCCTGCTGCATGAAAAGGAAGCAAGGAATAATACTCAGCCAGTGAAGAAATTTAGTGAATTATTCACACACTTCATTTGACCACCACCATCCACATACAAATTTCGTGTGTTATAATTCATGGTATTTCTAGCTTGTAATATGTATTTCATTCTTTCACATTTCCTGCATCTAAATCAAGTTGCCACTATCTTCCAGGAATCCATTCAATTTTCCAGAAGCAATGCTCATCTAATTGGGTACAGCCTAGGAGCTCATGTTTCAGGATTTGCTGGAAGTTTTATCAGTGGTACAAAAAAGATTGGAAGAATTACAGGTAAAAGACTTATAATTTTAAGAAATATAATAGCCAACTGAATTAAATTATGCAGACATTTGACATATTAACGTCATATTGACAATTAGCTGTTGAATAAGCAATATTCACCACAGTTTAGAAGTTTCATCCCATTGGTCTGGAAATTAGATTAAGAAAATTTAATGAAAACATTTTTCAAAATTAACTCTCATAGTGTTTCTATCTTTGATCTCTCTTACCTCAGTCCAAATTATGACATACAGAATATACAAACATGGGAACTACAAACCCAAAGACTCAAGCTGCATGTTGCTGCATTTATCTTGTATCTGTTCTCAGTCACTGGTTAAACTAAATGTTAGCCACAGACCTTGGATCTTCGGTCATTGTCTTGACCCAAAGTCATTCAAATATACTGTTCATTGTTAGCAAGTCATTTTAAAAAAAAATTAAGGAAATTGTCTAACTGTGCTTGAGCTTTTAATTATGGTACAGTGCTCACACAGTGAATTCAAGCCAGTTCTCCTGTGGCAAAAATGATAGTTCTGGATTACATTTTACAAAATGCATATCATTAGAATATCCCTAATAGATGCTCAAAATAAACGAAGTTAACCCCTAACACTTGATTATTTTGACTAGTGGCATTCTGAACTTTCTGTAAAGTTTTGTAACTGTACTAATTATGGGTGTAATGAAAACACATTTATATTGTTATTGGTACTCTGCACACAGTACCTGAACTAATGCCCCCTGACAGCCTAAAAAAGGTAAAACCAAAACAGAAATGCATTTTACACAAGGCCCACATCAGCTACATTTAATTCATCAGAGAAAAGATTTTACTTTAATCAGCTTTAGAAGTGAGGCAAATATACATGATACATGTACATACATATGAATATACATGAATATATCTTGAGGTCACAACTCTAATCTTGGATTCATTGCCACATACCACAGTCCTTTACACAATCAGTTCTTGTGGCACTGCCTGCATGACAAGAAGCTGATTTTACAAAATACATCATGATACTACACCTCTGCATACACTGAAGGACTTCAGGTCCCCAGCACTGCTTGTTCAAACCTTATTAGTACATAAAACCTTGATAATGGATAAGTAAAAAATATAAGAGCACGTTATTTTTTGTAACAGCTATATGCATTCTTCAGCAGAAGTTGTTCAGACTTGTAACAATAAGCTCCAAAACTTAACAGTGATAAAAGTTATTAAAACTAAAAGGAAATGTATGCCTTCAAGGTGACTTCCCTACTTGTAGCCTGTGTTATTAGTCTTGTCTGGTTACATCTATGCTATGTTATTCCACAGTACCAACTGAAGAATATCAAATTTAGAAGCTTCTCCTCAAAACTGAATGCAGCTTTCAACTAAACAGAAAGTTCTCTTCCATAAATCAACGCCAAACCAAGAAGAGCACCATACAAAAAAGATCTAGCAAACAAAAATCAGCAAGACTTGCTAAGTGGAATATTATTTTTCTGAATACTGTAATGATCTGCCTTGAAGACTTTTCAAGTTGAAAAATCATTATAAAGAAAATCCACCAGACATACAGCCCTTTTAAGCAATAAGTGAAGCTTTAAAAAGCTTCAGGTCCCAAATGTGGGCTAAAAGTCAACCTTGTTGTGGGACTGGTGTCTCCAAAAGGGGCTCTGAAACACCCGACCTCCAGAGTTTGAAAGAACAGAACTGTGTAAACATCCCTGCAGTGACAGGGTGGCAGTGAGCAGGTTTGTCCATGACAAACACATCTATCTCTGGGCCTGTGGCCTTGTGCAGGCAGCACTCACTGTTTGTTACAGCGCCTGTGTTTGCTTTACTCTCTGCTGTAACCACGTACCCTCTGCAGGACAAGTGTTCTTAGCATTGTTTCCATCAGAGAAAGACCTTGGAAAGTACCAGTGCTGCCTGCTTTTAAATATTTATCAAAGACTTTCCTTACAGCAGTAGAACAGTCCTTCTGCACTAAATGACAAAGGAATTATTTGCTTTTCTGGCAGGCCTTGACCCCGCCGGTCCCCTGTTCGAAGGAATGTCACCAACAGACCGTTTATCTCCAGATGATGCAGATTTTGTAGATGCAATTCATACCTTCACTAAACAGCACATGGGTCTCAGTGTGGGCATCAAGCAGCCTGTGGCTCATTTCGACTTCTATCCCAACGGAGGCACCTTCCAGCCTGGCTGTCACATCCTGCACGTCTACAACCACATCGCCCAGTTCGGGATCACCGGTAAGGACCCAGGGCACAAAGCATTGCACTGGCAGGACCTCTGGGAAACTGCACAGCTCTGTGACCTCAAACAGCTTCCAATGGGAGTATTAGCACCCCTTATATGCAAGGAAATTTCTTGTCTAGAAATCAGCTATGTGATTTTTACATGTACTGAGTTCAAAACTGGTTTTCCTGGCTCCAATGAGGAGCTGGGCTGTCCAGCACTCCTGAAAATGAAAACATCCTGCTGTCAAGCACCTCTGAGTAATTTCAAAGGTATGTTTTAGCAGTAGGGGAAATGAGAAAACTTATTCTAATTAAGCCAGATTCATCTAGTGTGCCATTAATTATTTCAAATCAAATAAAACACAGGTCTGTACTACTCACCTCCTTAGTTCACCTTTTCCTAACTCCCTGTCCTTCAGCTCTGTAGATGATGCTCCCTCTAGGACCTGGCTGACAGTGTTCCAGGCTGGGGTTTATTTATAGAAGCTTATTTCCAATGTACCTAAACACAAACGTATAGAGAAACTGATGCAACATACTGAAAAAAGATAAGGTACTGATGAGCAGTGACAACCAGGACTGCTCACTGAAAAACCCTAAAGAGAGCTGCTCACCCAGAGCATGACTTTGTGAAAGTATTTCTCAGGTATCATCACACGCTGCCTAAACACAGGCCTGACTTTTTAGCAGATAAAACACAACAAACGAGCAACCAAGCACAGGCTCAAAAGCTTATCAATGGACATATATAAAAACAGTTCACCCAATTACACAAAATAATTTTTGTAATTTGATGGCTCTTAAGGAACAAAAAGATACTTCTCATAAAAGCATCTCTATGTATTTAATAATTTTTTTATCTGTTTAATACATTTTTTTGCTCTTTTTTCCCCAGGAGTGGATGCAAGTAAAATTCAATATGAATGTTTTTCACTCTAAAAGGGATAAAATATTATTTTACTTCATAAGCATCCAAAAGACAACCACTCAGAATGAGACTGCTGTCTTTAATCTGGCATGATCTGAAAGACTGCACGTCACCTCATATTGTATTTTATATTAACCAAAACAGCCAGGATAATGTAATTAAGGTTCATATTTACAGTCTGATACAGTCAGGCTAGAGAAGTTTAAGCAGCAAATTATTCAATTTTATTAGCTATTTTTGAATTATCCTAAAAGTTAAATTGCTACAATGCATGATTTTGGAGGCAAAATCACGACGTAAAGGGCAATAAGGGGATGGGGGGGAAACAGTAACATCTTTGTAGTTGGTTACAGTACTCCTCTGCAGCTGAAATGGTAAAAAGGAACAATGGCATGTAAAATTTTGTTTGCATTTTTTCAGGCATCACTCAAGCTGTGAAATGTTCCCATGAGAGGTCAGTTCATCTGTTCATTGACTCTCTTCTGCACAAGAACAAGCAAATCACAGCTTACTGGTGCAACGACATCAACACCTTCAACAAAGGATTGTGCCTCAGCTGTAGGAAGAACCGGTGCAACACCCTGGGCTACAACATCAGGGAGGAAAGGCTCCCAAAGAGCAGACAACTCTTTCTGAAAACAAGAGCACATATGCCCTTCAAAGGTTTGTGGGAATACTTGTTACAGCAACCAGATTATCACAAAGTGAGAGAACGAGCCTAAGCTTTGTGGTCCTATTTACTCATTCATTAAAGCTTATAAAATCTGTGGGAATAATCAATTTGCTGAGACAACTGAGAATCTCACCCTGATGCCTTTCCATCAAGATCCTGGCTCTTAATATTTCTGTGGGAAAAACCCTGCTGCACACTTGCCCCAGGCTAACCATGGATCCAAGGCCCTGGAGATGCTTGGGGTCCTGAGCTGCAGGATTTTCCTACAGCTGGCCTGTGCAGGTCTGTTGTAACAGATGCAGGCATACAGCCAAGCTGAAAAAAGCAGCATAATTGCTCTGGAAGGCCTGTAAAACATCCTGTTCCAAGTTTGCCCAAATTTTATCTGCAATTAGTCTACGAGATGACATACAAATTACTACTTTTCAAACAATGGACAGACAACAGCATAGTGTGGACTTTTACAGGGCTGAACTGCAGCACTAAAATAAAGACTGGCACTGTAGCTTCAGTCCTACTAAATTACTTTATCGAGAGTGCAAACTAACAATTTTCTAAGCTCAGGGAGACAGTCAGTGTGGTTTTTTGGCCATACGACCAGACAGAGGGGACGCAGCCTGACAGGGGAGCAAGGCCTTTCTGCCAGTCCCCAATACAGTCAGCTGCCTCATGGCTGTTGTTGAGCAGACATTCCCTTGCCAGTGGCAACGTTTATGTATGTTTTATAGCAAGAAAAGCAGGACTGTGTGGGATAATAGGCAGGGACATGCTTCTTCCAAGGGGCTTTCAGCGCTGGGACTCCTGGCACACAGCATTCCTCCTCACCACCTCCTTCCCCAGCACACGAGGCATGTGGGGAGCAGCAGTGTGGGGCAGCCTGGGCAGGGCTCCTGCGTGGAGCCAAAGTCACACACATGGAGGAGACTCCCCTCGGGCTGAGGTGCTGCTCCCCGGGCCCCCAGCACAGCCCCGGCACAGCCCTGGCCATGAGGGTCCCACAGCCCCTCTCCTGCTGCCAGGGATGTGCCAGGCCAGAGCCTCCCTTCTGATGGAGGGCTCAGCCCTCTCGTCCCTCCCCCTGCACTCTGCAGCTGGGAGGCACTTTGGGTGACCACAGTGCACCCCTGGCATGGACACCTAAGGGCCTTGCAGTCCTGAGAGAAATGCCTTAAAATGCTGCTTGCATTATACAGCTTGTTTCCCCACAGAGTCCAGTTGCTCAACTGCAATATCACAGATTCAAATTTTAAAACATACAAAAAATTAAAAAATTGTTTTACAAGTACATGAAGTCTTTCACTAGCACAGCTATGAAATATTCAGTGATGATTCCAGAGGGGTCTGCTCAGCCCTGATTGCTACTCAGAGCAGCTGAATCTCCTGAATTGCTTCTTAATACTGTTTAAAAGGGTTCGGGAGGCTAATTGAGGTAGATTTAAAAATTCTAGAGGCTGCTGCAGTACAGTCAGTTCCTTGTCAGATCAGGGAAGTGGCTGGTTCTGGGGCCACAGTGTCCCCTGTCACCACACCTGGGCACAACGGTGCAATCCCTGTGTTGCATTCTTCTCTGGACATGGAGCCGGTTTCAGCTTGTGGTAAAATATCTGCATCCTTTTGGCTTTGATTTCAATTTAAACACGTTGCATTTTTATGCTTGGAACTGGTTTTGCATCAAAAAAACATCCTTGGGCATATGCAGATAACAGTGCCCCAGATAATGGTCTCCTTTCACAAAAGTTCCCAAACAAAGCAGCAACTGTGGGAGGGTGCTCACAAAGTCATCTTTGTAATGCTTTTAAAAAAACGTTTGAAGATCATGTGAGAAGCCCAAACAGAAGAAATTTGAGAAACTCAGCATTACACTTCAGAATCCTCTGCGCCTTCGTAAAATCTGACATTTCATTTTCAAGTTAATGGCATTATGTTCTGGAGAGTACAATAATCCACTTCAAACAAAAAAGCCCGTTGTCACAAACAAGTTAACACTTACTATAAGGCTGTGATGGGACCCCGAGTTGGAGATTTTACATGAATATGCTCACCTTTTTCCTTAAAGTGAGCCCCACAACCACAGCAAAAGCCTAGGCTGTATCTGAACAGACACCAAACAATCAATTTTTACAGGGAGAGAAAATTCAGAGAAAGACAGATTAATAATAAAAGTGATCTGTAGACAAGCCTCTCTGCCTTCATCTTCATCAAGTTTGCAGCAAAGGATCAGCCATTTTGTCTGATCTACTGAATGACATGTTTTCAGAAGAAAATACATTGTTCACTAACATACAACAACTGTAAAACAACAACAAAAACATACAGCTTTTCTAGCAAGTACCTTCATTGTGAACACCCTGAGCTGCAAAACCAAAAAAAAAAAATCTATCTGTGCATACACAGAAAAACATAATTCCCTTGGCAGTATGTGGTGGAGCCATTCTCAGGTGTAATGAGGACTGAAGTGGGTGAAGAGACTCTACTCAAAAACTAGTGTGCAGTAATGTTCCTTTACACCTAAACCTACCCATTTTGTCTAGAAGGTGGCAGATAGAATGACCAGATGGAAGAGTTCTGGACCTTCAAACTGTGTGCACATGCTCTAACTGTATGTTGTTGTGGGTTTTTTTTTTTCATAATTTACAAAATATCAAACTACTCACAATCAGAACAGTGATGACTTCTTAGGCATTCTTCCTTCTGACAGTGTTCAGTTCAGACTTTCCTAAACACTGTTCTTCTAGAAACCCACCAAATCTTGAAGCATTAATGACATCTTTCTCATAGTAATGTGCTTGAACAAAGTAATTTTGTTAACAGAGGCACGTGAAGCACAATGGATCATTATGCAGTCAAGGAAAGTTTGTGAGCCATCTGTTTTGCAGGGCAATTTTCTAGTTGATCAGAGAAAGAGCCTGAGCACACTGCATAAGGGCTTCAATCCACATCACACATCTCTGGTCATGCCCAGTCACAAGGATTCATCTGGTCAGTACACAGAGGGTTTGCCAGAAATTCTAAACTTAAGAAAAGCTGCAATATTTCCCATGGAAGAATGTTTTATCCTAAAGGGAAACTCATCCCAGATTACCTTTTTTCTCTGTCCTTTTAAGTAGAGCAATAGGGCTGCAAACCTTAGGGGATTACACAGCACAGCAACAATCAGAAAAAAAAGATTAAGTTTTAATTTCAGCAAATTAATTTGAAAAATAAAAATCAGGTTTCTGCTTTGAAAGGCAAATTTTTTTTGCCTAAGAAATCTATTTTTTCTTCGACCATTAATTTTGTCACTTTGCAAATTCTTCCCTTCTCCAGTGTATCATTATCAGTTCAGGATCCACATCATCAATGAAATCCAAGGCAAGCCCATAGACCCAACTTTTACCATGTCTCTGATGGGGACTAAGGAGGATGCTAAAAACCTGCACATCCCACTGTGAGTATTGGTGTCCCCTGTCATTGTGCAAAGGTGCCAGTTAGCAAAACTATTAATTGATAGTCATGCTGGGAGTGAAATGGTTCAGTACAGATAAGTGAACTGAGAATTGCCCTCTCTTCATTCACACTGCCTAAAAATCACAAGTTTTTCAACATTCATACAGATTTTGCATAAAAAATATCTATAAAACAAACAGCAGATTTGGAAGTTTCCTGTCCACTTATGTTCTGTCCATCCCATGGCTATGACAGGGAGATCCAATCAATTAAAACACAAATAAAAAATCAGCTGTAATTAAGATAAAGAATGTTGGATATTTATCAGGATGGACACCATTTGTATTAACAAAAGCAAAGGTGACAGAGCAGGTCAGCATTTGTTGTAGCAGACAAAAGATGTAACACAGATGTTATTATGGGACACCTTTCTTTTACTGTCAGAAACCACTCCTGCTTCAAAGGTTTTCAAGCTTCTCCCACTTCTGCTTCTTTCCTACCATGGTTTCATATTTCATCACTTTATGCATCAGAAGGAAGAGTATTCTAGAGACTGTAATGTTTTGTCCTAGAGAAGGAGGAGGAAACATAGTTCTTTCTTTGGTCTTAGAGAGAAAACAACTTTTTTTTTTTTTCACTTTATTCCATAATAATTAAGACAGCATTATTCTGGTTTTATGTTCTGTAGAGTTGAAGGTATTACTGGGAACAAAACCTACTCTTTTCTCATCACCCTGGATACTGATATCGGTGACATAATAATGATCAAGTTCAAATGGGAAGGAACTCCAGTTTGGGAAAACATCTGGGACACAGTGCAAACCATAATACCATGGACAAAAGGCACCCGTCGACCAGGACTCATAGTGAAGGCATTAAGGGTGAAAGCAGGGGAAACACAGCAAAAGTAAGTGTAATGAAAACAATAATATCACCACAGATGTTTGGCACACAGGATATCCCAGACAAAATACAAGCACCTGAGTCCCCAGCAGTCACACCAACAGTGAATTTATCCATGTTCAACTTCTGCCTTCCCCTCCCCTGTCCCTCAGATCAGACTGCATGATTTTTAGGTGGCTTCAAGAATTTGTTTGTTCTCAGATCAGAAATGAGTAATGGGAAATGCTCTGGCTCACCAGTGCCACCCATGTGAGTGCCAGGCAGACAGGCCCTGGGTGCCAGTTTCACTGATACTTGGGACTAAAGAATAGAGAAACCAGCATACACATCTGAGCAAGAATTTCAACAAGTTTTACAAAGCAATTACTCTATAAAATTAACTGCAATTTCTGACATTTTTAGAATGAGATCACCTCACTCCATAAGTACCACATGAAATGTCAATGAAACAAGACACTATGTAAGATAAATGTTGATTCCAACATTTAGGTCATGAAGTATTCAGATTCCTACATACAAAAATATTAACTGACTTTCCATACCGACTTCATAGAGAAACCCAGCATCACCATTCTTGAAAATACTCATTAGAAGGATCCCATGCAGAACTACACAGTCCTGTGATTCCTTCTGGTGTTTTTTCTCCTGATTATTGCTTTGAAACTGGATTGCCCAAAGTGGCCTTGTTTTCTACATACAGCAACGTGCACAACACTTCTGAAACTGCTTATTCATACAGAGACATTTCAGCCAGAAGAGAGAACTTGTAATGATTCCCACTGCTTTCATCTTTTGAGAAATTTTAACTGAGCAGTTTCATTAAGTTTAATGAGAAAAGCACACCTTACCTTGGAACTGTGGCTCAGTCTTAGAAGGCAATTTTCTTTGGTACATTCTCTTTCTTACCACCACTGGTTATAAGCAGTGCAGACTTCCTGTGGAACAACACTTAGTGGCAGAGCTGCATCTCCTCACAAAAGACAAATCAGATAACTTAAAGAGATATTTCATGAAATGATTTGTGTGTGCTGGAGGGCAGAGGAGTGGTCATATTTTCTTAGGTTTAACCTTCCTGAAAATGTATTTTGAAAGTATTTTCCTAACCTGGCACTTGGCACATGCTCCCATCATTAAGAAAAAAAAGTTTCTATAACACCTCCTGCTGTTTTAAAAGCCATGACCCCAAATCAGTACTGACCTAGCTGCCAGAGCAAATTAAAGTGCAGCATACACCACAAATTAGAGAGCTCTGTTTAAATGCAGATTTTTGTACCTTGAGAAAATAAGAGTGAAGGCTGTGAAAGGCTCAGGTCAGGTACAGTCATTTTGCAAACCAGAAAGCTCCTGTCCAACCCAGCTGTGTCAATAACCTGGCACAAGCCAATTACTACTGATGTGCTTCTTAAGAAATTCTAGGAAATGGGTAACTGAGGTGGGCACTCATACTAATAAAAAGTTAGGCTGGTATCCTCAGGTACCTAACACTCCTCAGAAGTTTTTTTGTTGCAAATAGAAGTGGGAGTCTGTGTCAAGCTTTTAGTGGATACTGATCATGGGCTGGGTTTTGTTCTGTGCAGTCTGGGCAGTGACATGTTACTGCTGAAATACTGCACTGATGCTTGGGGGGAAGGAAAGATTCTAAAAGGAGGAACAAAGGACACTCAAGGACAAGTATTGTCTTCAAAGAAAAGAGGTGTGCAGGTTCCTGTCTTCCTCAACAGACCAAACATTGTGTATTACAGAATTAGCAATCTTGGAAATTCAGTATTTAAAAAAATATGGTAGGCACAAGATGTGTTTGGAGTTGTCCTACCCTTTCTCAGATTTGAACAAGTTCACAATATTTTATCTCCATGTATCTTTACCTCTCAGTATTTGTGATCTTAATCCAACAAAGGAAAATTCATCGTGTATATAATCTAATGACAAACACTTAAGATACAACAACATATACTTAAAAAGCAGGTAAAAGACCATTATGAGGAATAAAATACCAGATTCCAACATGTTTGGTTTCAAATATTTCTACAGCACATTTAGTTGCTGATGTTGTCAGCATCCTGCACAGCTGATATTTAGCAAACTCCCACCTAAATACCAGTATTGCAGCTATTACTGGTATCCCAGCAGCCCAAATAGGGCAATCCTGGTGGTAATAGTAGGAGTTGAAACCATGACAATGCCCTGCTGCCAACACAAACCCCAATCACAGTGAGGGTGTGCTGAGGGTGTGCTGTGGAGAGCAGCACGTGCGGTACAACACACTCAGCACACGGAGCTGCCTCCTCCTTTATTCTCTGTACCCACGGTCTGGCAGTCAGATAAACCCATTTCCTCACAAGCCCATAAAAACAATCCCTTCCTGGAAAAGACAGGATAAAGAACATGAGCTCCTAACTAACATTGTGCTTACATGCTGTGTTTCCTTTCTAGAATGACATTTTGCTCCCAAAGCATCGACAACGTTCACCTTCATCCATCCCAAGAGAAGACATTTGTGAGGTGTGAAGATCTCTATCAGAGAGAAAACTGAGAATGAGCAGGAACACAAAAAGCAAACTACTCACCAAAGTATTCAAAATGCTGTATACCTGGCAAAATGATTTAAAAACACACAGTTACATTAAATATCCTAGTAGGTTCAGAGTAGTGAAGAAAATACATTAAAATATTTAGATTTTGTGATGCAACTGTGCTTTGTTCATCTACGAGCCTACTCTGGAAATGACTGAGCAACTTCATCAAGGCAACAGTCAATTATAAACTGTTTAAAGTCTGAAAAAAACATCTGCTCACCAGAAATAAAAGTATTGCTATTTGAAAGAATCATTGCCACAAGCCTTCGAAAAACCTATGTTTTGTTGGATTTAAGGGGAAAAAAAAGAGCCTCAAAAGGAGTATTTCCCATTAAATACTTTGAAACATTAATAGAGTTAATATCAGGTAAAACTTTCCTAAATTATTTCCTAATGCAGGAGGAGTTAATTAGTTCATAAAAGAAAATACTCCCAAATAGGTAACAAAATGCATCTCAACCTACAGAATGCTTGAGCTGCCATAACCATGACAAGCCCAATAACTGTATCACCTAAAAACTCTATACTAAACTTTGCTCTATTTGAAAGTGCTTTGCTGTTTAACTATTTTAATTAAAGAACTGATTTAAATTACTAGCAGTTTAATAATTTCAATGATGCTTAGTGTACTATATAAAATTCTAGCACAACTAATTGCAGTTAATTTCTGCATTTAAATCAAACTCACCTGTTCAGGTAAGGCCTGAGAGTTTTAGATTCTAAATCACTGTATACCAGATTTTAGCATAACTTGAAACTACCACAATAAATGCAAATGCTAAAATCCTCCAACAGCTTCAGAGCATATAAACAAACTTTACAGAGTCAAACATATACAATTCCCTCGTTTCCTATGTCAGAATATAAACTACAAAAAGAAACATTATTGCCTCAGATTGGTTTTATTCCCAGGTTAGTACGAACTGAAATAGAAATCAATATGTATGTATTTCATTTGTCCCTTTGTAATGCTAAGCACAAGATTCATTAAAATGATGTTTCTACAACTCTGCATTTTGAATGCAATTTGTGTTAAATGTTCTCCAAATTGTAAAAAAAAAGTGCAAGAAACTGCTGAGCCATGGAGGAAAGCATATTGTTCGTACCAAGATACTGCAGGGAATTTTGAACCAAAATATCCAGGTGTTATCAGGAGGAAAGCGAGATTTCTTTAGAAAGTATGACAAATGAAGGAGTTTTAAAAAGCATGACAAAAACAAGCTGAGCAGAGTGAGCAATGCTGCAAGCAGTGAGCACTGATCCAATGTTGAATGCAGGCACCTCTGCCAACCATTCACAGCATTAACCTCTAACTTTTACAAGCTGTTGTCCCTTCCTGAGGTGCAAATTTCAGAAGCTGTTTCAATATTTAAAATGGCCACTGGGAATTGCATCTTGATCAGGATGAATATTTAAAGATTTAGATACAAATTCCATACTAAAGAATCTTTAGACCCTCACTGAAAACAAACGTTTGTGCTTTGAAAGATTTTGTTCAATGAAGCAAACTGTTTTTTTTAAACACAAAAGCATTTCCACCTTCTATGTCAAAAATCACAATTCGAGTGATTAATTCCATGCTTCAGGTTGCTATCCCAAATATTTAAATTTTGTAACAATTATTTTATTAAAGCTCTGTAGTATGTAGTTTAGTCTGTGATTGTGTAAAAATCACTTGCTTAAACACAACAGCAAAGTCAAATTAGGAGCACACACAGAAGAAGGAAATTTCAGCCATAAGTATTCCAGGTGGAAAAAGGGTCAGGGTTGTCTATAGTGTGCTGAAACTCAAGTAACAGGGATACTGCAGTTTTTTTGGGAGAAACCATTCTCCAGTTCAACTGAGACAAGCTGGTATATCCTCAGATAAGATTATTTGAAAATTTTAAAAAGCCAAGTAGGAAAATTAAAATAACATTCAGTATTTGAACTCTTGTGTATAAGAAGACACTTATTCTGAAGCCATTTTTCCAAAAACAACTGTCCCAATTAAAAATTCTGTCCATTTGTAATGACAAATTAGTCATTACACTAATTTCTGATCTAAAAATAAAATAAAGCACAATTTGCAACGTACTCAGTTTCACATAATGCCTGAATGTAATACTGAAATCATACCTAGAATTTCAAGTGCCTTCCTTTGTGCTCATTGGGATTCTCCCTGTCTCACTCCAAACAACTGACTGGAGACCATGGAAGCCACCAGGTGCCTCCTCCTGGGAGAGAACTCACAGCTCAGAATGACAGAATGACTGCTGGCCTTTTAATCACCTCTCTGTGACAATGAACCTCCAATATTCAGAAGGAAAAACCTCTTCCCTTTTGTGTTCTTCCTAAAAGAAATATTGGAACATTAATTGAAAGGCAAACTATAGCAGTGACTTATTGTCTGTATGGTATAAAGTTTCACAGTTTAAGAGTAATTTGATGCTCTTCTCACACACATCATTCTCACTATGCTGTATATGCTTCCACACCAGAGGTGAATGTACACATTTAATGACTAAAACATTAAGAAATGCAAGATGAATAAATTAACAGGTACAACTAAGGATTATTAGAAAAATTACAGCTGGTTACGTATTAATTTGTTTCACTTACATTTTAAAATATATTTAAAATACATGTGAAATTTGTATTTTAGATGCTTAGGCATTATTTCCACCTTTCTGATTTCCATTCCTAGGGAGATTTAAACACAACCACCACCAAATCCAGTAAGCACCTATGATATGGATTTGCAGAAGGGCTGTTTTTAAGTGATTTTCTTTTAATGCCTTTTGCACAGACGGTGCTATTCATCTACAAGAGAAGCACTTTTATAAAAAAACCCCAGTGGTGTGGGGTGGTGGTAGGGAAGCACTGTGAGGAAGGAACTCTGAACATGCTTTGATAACATCAAAGTGTGCCCTGCTCAGCCAGGGAAGCAGATGTCTTAGCAGCCACTCTCAACAAACAGCCCACAGAATGAAAGCCTTGCTGGCAGGACCTGGCTGCTCAAAGCAGTCTGATCACTTAAATCAACCATGCAACACACACAACAGCACACAGACCCAGCTTAGCAGCTTTAAAACACCTTGCAAAAGCAGATTTGCTCCTTCTGTAAGTCTTATCCATCAGTTGTATATTCAGAGCATTGCATACGAATTCCAATATTCCTCTCCAAATAGAGATTTATTTCCAAAGTTATATCATTCAGTAGCTGTGCTGCCAGGCCTGAATACCCCACCAGCAACTCATTTTCATTTTGAAGGTAAGAACAGGGAAAGTTTTATGCCTGTGATCATTTAACTAATTTAATTTTAGGGTTTTTCCTTAAACAGGTTAACACCAACACATCTGCTCTTATCACACAGTTACATGTGCTAAAATTGAGAGGGGCACTTTGATAGAGTAGAGATAGTACAAGCACTTTTTGGCATGACAGCCCCTTTCCAGCAAAAGCCAAAAATTAAGTAGAAGCAGAATCTGTGTATCCTTCTTGCTTTCAGGGCTCAACAAGTAAATGGATCTTCAGCAGGTGATTTCATCAAGTCTATTTATTAATGCATTTCAAGTTTCAAAAAACCTTACATATCTTTGCACAATACTTTATTTTTTGCATTTTTTAGTAAAAATTTCCAAAGTGAACAAAAAAAGATACTGTATAAAACACAGTGGACATGAATTGACAGTAGTATTTCCTTTTCATTGTCTTGAACTTGCTTTCAGTTTTACCACATCTTGACTTGCAGTGGAGAGTTCAGTGCACATTTCTGTTTTCAGAAAACATTTAACTTAGACTCAAAATAAAATAGGGCAGCATTTGTCTGCCAAAATCCTACCACAGGATAACATTACAGGCAAAAAATTTACATGTTCCAAAGTCTACCACACTCAAGAAGTTACTAAGAACTCTTGCTGAATAAAAGTCACCATTTTAGAAATGCAAACCCACTTCCAATCTTTGCACAGTCTTAAAACAAATGTATTTAAAATGACTTAAAAGCAACTACATACACTTCTAACTAGTTAAGATCATTTAGAATTATTTATATAGTCTATTGGACTTGGGGTTTCATGTACAAAATTTGTCTCTAAACCATGTACAAAAAGCTGTATTTTGAAAAAGTTACCACATACTGTACAAGTTTACAAGGAAGAGATTCCATTATATTCTGTAACATTTTTGGCCTTGCTGGCTTGCGTCACATTATGAGAATGATTGTGTAAACCTTAGACTCTTAAAAAACAAAACAAAACAAAAAAAAAAAAAAAGAAAAACCCAACAACAACAAAAAACCCAAACAAAGGAAGCCTGTCCAACCCTTAGTAAATTTTCTCCTAAGCAAAGCCAGGAAAATTATAGCCATTTGCATCTCTAATTAGCTTGGTGCTTTTGGAAAACAAGCAATAAATACATCACAAGCTTAAACATTTTGTAATGCCCCCTTTCATCTCCTGCATAGCAGTAAGCACCTTAAGACATCTTTTGTTTCTTCTTCAAAAATGCCAATTATTTACATTCGTAATAAAAACTCTGGAATGGGACATTGTGCTGTTGAACTTCACAACTGGTATAAAATGTGGGAAAATTGGTAGTCCTAACTACAATTTTAACTCTGCCACAGTAGCCAGGCAAATCACTCTATTTTAGTGGTTATGAATAAACAGTATCATGCTGAAAAGTTATCCAAATACCTGATAAATTAAAAAAGAAAATAAAAAAAATACAGCTTTTCTTTCTTTCCACATCCCTTAGAACATAATTACCATACTGTAAGAATATCTGAACAGCCCAAAGAAACTGGTTGCAATTTTTAAAACAAGTTGAATAACAGGCAGAATCTTCTAATAAAGCATGGAAATATTTCATCTAACTATTCATTATTTAACTGAATAATCAGACAAATTAAAAATATTTATGCTGAGCTACACGAAAGACACTCACATATAACATGTTTGAAACATTCTGACACTTGCAAAGTTTGCAGAACACCTGTTATATCTCTACAAGACCATCCAATCTTGTTTGCTGTGTCTTAGCAGCTGTTGGATAAAGATGAAATGAGCTTGAAAACAACTTTGATAATGATAAAAAAAGTGTGATTGGATTCAAAACTGCTGTGTAAAGCATCACAGGATCCTTGACCACTACACACCATCATCCTCTGTTATCCTGAGTATGTCAATTAAACAGTAATTTCTTCATTAATAGCGGAAAAGTTTTATAATACAAAGAAACATCCATATTGCAATTCTCTTGTTTACAATTGCACACAAGTACGGGTGTACGTTAGAAATACATGTCTGCATATAACAATGTATATACATTGACAGGTCATGTCTCCAATGCTGAGGTGGTTTAGCTTCCTAGCCTTGGCTGGCAGTTGAAAAATAGATATTTTCCTCAATTCTTGAGTAAAAGTTTTACTACAGCCATATCTGCCTGCAAGTGAAGAAAATGCAGCACTGAAGAGCACAGAAGGGGGAAAGAATCATGATATGCTAGGCCTTTGTGCCACTAAACCAAAAATACGCAAGAAAAAAAAACCACTTTTCTTCTTGGCGAGCTGGAAGATTCGCTCATTAAAAATTAACCACTTCCACTTGTTTTGAGGGCATATCATGCCTTTTTTTTTTCCTCTTCAATTTTTGAGAGTTAAGACTGGGGACAATGATTTATTAGGTTTTCTTTGGAGCGAGTTTTCCCATTGTAGGCACTAGGAAGATCCAAGGCAAAAAGCTGCAGTCAACGTCTCATATGTCCCATCTGATAACTCTCCCGGGGCCTTTGCCGCTGCGGGGGCTGAGTGGTTTGGGGTGGTCTCCTCCTTTTTAAAGTGCCTGTTGCAAAGAAAGGCACCCATTATTAAAAATTAGTTTTAAAAAAAAAATAAACAAAGTTATTTTCCAGAAGAGTTGCCCAGGCCATGCAAATTAGACATAACTATTTTTGTCTGGAAGGCTTCAGATTCAGAGCTGCAAAGTTTTAAACAAATGATGAACTGCAAGGAGAACTTACAGAATACATCTCAGTGTCTCAACAGTAGTTCCTTAAACAGGCCAATTCTTACAAAATGTAGCATGGAATAGGAAATGAAAGGAACTCTGACTCAGAAAAAGTCTTCAAAGCTTTCTTTTGATATGCATATTATGTTATAGGAAAATGAGGCAAGAATTAGATTTTTATGAATTGTTTCACTGGCATCAATTCCATTTGTAGTTTCACAGTTCCAGACTAAGAACTGTAGGTTGGGACACCTACAATTTCCCTTTAGAACAAAATAGCTGAGGATAAAACATTTCTCTATAAATTTAATTATCTGGTTTACTCACCTGGAAGTGGTTTATGAGGAGGCAACTTTGGATTACTGCTCGGAGTATGAACACTGCATATCTTAATGAAACCAGCCATTAACATGATCAATGCAATTCCCATAAGCAACACTGCCCACCAATAAGCCTAAAAAAAAACAACAAAAAGAAAGGACTTTGTGGGCTGGCACACATGCACAAGAGACAGAAGACATTGCACATGGCTTTCCTCTGTGTTCTAAAAATCATCAAAAAGCTTTTCTGAAACATCACCAAGAACATGTGACCACAACACTTAAAAGAAATATGTCCCCAGAGTTCTCACAGAAAAGCCCAAATGCTTCAGATCCACTCTGATATCAGAAGAGTATTTCACAGAAGATACTACAACAGCCACATCAGCCTAAAACAACCCACAGCTTGCACAAAATTGACTTTGCAGCTCTGCAGTGGTGTCTCATTGTAGTTTTCCTTCCAGCTTATTATTAGGATAGTGTCATCCAGCACAATGAAAATAATGAATGCTAAAGATCAAAATAATTAGTTACTTAAAAGAAATCAGAGCTTTCAAATATTAAAACAAGAAAAACCGGTAAATTAAAAATGTGAACATTAACACACCAAAAAAGACACTGGAATAAATAGAGGTATTAACACAAAATATTTACTTGATTATTTGTTTGTTTCCATTTCCTTCAATCTTTCAGAATTATTTGCTGCACTGAGGGTGCTTACAGAAAAACTAGTCAAACAAGGACTAATTACACTTTGAAGAATGCTGAAGCACTGTGTATATACAGCAACACTTATCAGCTGTGATTCTTGATTAACAAGAACATTTTGCATTAGACTTGTAATGTAAAAAAGAAAAAAATCTACTTACCACAATCCACTCTGCAATATTTTCATATAGTTCTGGATTAAAAATTGCTTTCTTTAATCTGGCTAGAGGGCCATCAGCATCTACCAGCCGACACCTCATAAACACATCACAGTAGCCTTTGAAATCATTACAGGGAGATCCAGGTTGCAAAGTAATAGTTTCAAGATGAAAGTAATTCTCCCACTGGATGGAGCCTGTGCTTGCACACGTAGCTGGGTCCACTGAAAAGTGAACACAAATTAATCAAACCATTACTGTGTTAAGACATCAGTGCATGAACCACCATTTGTTCAAAATGCTTTTCTATTTATCTGTAAAAATGCAAAATATATTGTTTATTTCCTACAAAATACAATGCAATCTCTATCTAAAACTAAGTATGAACAAGATCAGTGTGCTCTCAAGTTAACAAAAACTCAACCCACGAGAAGCTTCCTCAGACACCCAGAGCATTATTTGGGTTCACTGTTCAGCCAAATCTTACTTTTCCTCATGCAGCAGACGTGGCACAGTTCTCTGTCATCCTTGCCATCTGAACTAGCACATGTACATTCCTCCAAGCCATGCTTCTCACAGATAGAGCCAGCACATTGCTGTGGGAGACAAAAGCACAAGAACACCAAAACCAATATCACTTTTAAGCACACTGACATTAGAAAAGGTATTAATTTTTAATATCTGAAAGCCTTACTAAAGATGCTTATCAATAAAAGCAATTGCTTCAGTTTCAGTGTTTTGGCATATTTAGTAACTTATTAAAAGGTGATTTACCCTATTTTATTTTTTAACACAGTATCTTTTTTTATGGCCAGAGTACCCAGCAAAACACTCACAGCACTACAATTCACACTGAAACGTGACCACTCAAAACCATGGTTGGAAAAATAAACCAAACACCTCCTCACAAATATTTTCTCCCAGAAAATAATAAAAATTAATGGCAGAAAAGATTGTGTATTTAATTTCCCTGTGGGAGGGTCCTCCAGACTCAAATAAAAAGTTCAGTGTATTTTTAATCTTGTTTCAAAATCAGTAACTATATAAAGACAATTCCCCTATCTTTAATGACTATACATTAGCTGAAAAAATATTACAAGCAGCATATGATTAAAAACCTGGACTGTGGAAAACAGACTTAGAGCAACACAAGTTACAGCTCTTTAAGAGGATGATTTTTGCTTGTTTCTGCTTCCAAATAAACACAGATAAACTCAATAAAAGACTTCACATCAATATTTCATAGCAACTGCCATGGACTCTCTAACCCAGGAAACTAATGGCAGTTCAGAATAATTCTATATGTTTGTACATCAGTGCTACACGTACATGTCTGGAGCAACTCTGTATTTTCAATAAAACAAATTCAAGCTGCATTGACAGCATATCTAAATTTTTGAGGCAACAAAATTACTTGACCAAGACTGAAGAAAAATGAAAGGGTGGAACTAGAAAATAAAACACTTCCATAATGCTGATTTTTACAAAAAACTTCAAATGGAACTTTTCAAATAGTACAGCTACATTGGTACCAGTATGTCTCAATACTTGGTTTACTTCCACAGTTATTTTGACTGAAACCAATAAATCAAACACTTCTGTTGAAGAACAGCCTGAGCTTGCACTGTTCTCCAGCAGCACTGAAATCATCCCCATTCACAACAAACAACAGGAGCAGTAAGAACCATACCCCATTGATGCAAACTTGGGTGTTCCTGTTGCACTCTGTGAAGTTTTTTTTGGGGTCAGATGCTGGGCAGAGAGCACTGAAACCATTGCACATCCCTTCCTTTGCACAGTCAGAGTCGTTCCGACACTTCTCCGTCCTGTCTTTGAAACGACACTGGGGAGTGCAACAGGGGCCTTGGCTGGGGCTACAAACAGAGAATGTCAAGAAAAAACATGAACAATTCCAAAAGAACCCTGAAACCTACTCAAACGCTCAACATATTTCTGATTTGTGCTAATCAAACTGGGAAAATAATTTTTCTCATAGCATAACGACACTTAGGGACTTCTCACTCATTGTATAAGGCATTTGAAAAAAAGCAGGTAAACAGATTCAGATTCTGAAATACCAGTTAAAGTGCCCAATTAATGCCCAAAATTACAGTGTACTGTAACACACATGCACAATACCTGCACATTTTGCCTGGTTTTAACTTGCATTTTTTATCTTCTGCTTGGTTTGCATCAAAACAGCAATCATCTTTACACTGGTCACTGTATCCACAATCACACTGTTCTCCTTGTTCAACCAGTCCATTACCACAGATGGGCTGCCCAGACTCTGAAAAATGCCAGTATATTTATGTACAAAGCACTTCAAAGAATATGCAAATAGACTTATAAACGTTGACAAGCATCCAGCCAACCATGACTGAACAGGCCTGGTCAAGAAGGACTTTAGACCAGGGCTCAAGTCACCTTGCAGTTCTGCTGCCACCCAGCTTAGTCACTCCTGCAGTTCACAGAACTTTCAGCTTTGAGTGGAAGGTTTTGGCTGGTAACAGGGGAGTGCCAAGAACGAGCTTCCTGCCGAGTCCCCAAGGGAGCCACGTCCTCTCCTGCTCTCCTTGAACAGCCAGAGCACCTCAAGGCTGAGGCTGATGTTACTGGGCTGAACTGCTATTGCTCCAAAATCCAAACCTACTCACTGCACAAACCTCAAAATTTGTGGGAGCTCACACATCACAGACTCCAGAAAGAAAAATTCCTACAAAACCTTGGGGGTTTTTATGTCTAAATAGGACTCCCTGAAGTTTAATATGTGTTCCTTCCCCTCTGGTCCTTTCACTGGGCATGACTGAGAACACTCTGGCCCTGTTCTGTTCACTCCCTCTCACCAGGCATTTATAAAGATTAAGAAGAGCCTCCCCCAGCCTTCTCTGCTCCAGACTTACCAGGCTCTCTTGGCCTCTCCTCATATGTCAGATGCTCCAACCCCTTAATAACCCCTGTGGCCCTTTGCTGGACTCACTCCAGTATTTGCCTTTTCTCCACTGGGCAGCTCAGAACTTGACACGGTACTTGAGATCTCAAAGTTAATTCTTTACTTACAGAATCTTTCAGTAAATGAAACCAAAATTAATGATTAAGATAAATAAAAAAGTAAAATGAAAATAAATAAAATAAATTTATAAGTAAGCATAATAGTAATAGCTCAACCATTCTGCTTTCAGGGTGATTAAATACATACCAACAAAACAATTATTTCTCTTTTTCTCAAGAACTTGGCTGATATTTCGAATGCTACAGATAGAGAACTTGTTGTTGTTCAGTTTGTCCCCAGACGTAGCTCTTGCATACATGATGTAATTGCCATTCTCTTTCTGTCCCAAGTTCTTGGACTCTCCTGGAGTGCACTCCATTCCAGAATCGTGCTGCAAAACAAACATTTTACAACTATCTCTATCACAACAGGTGCCAAAGTAACTTGGATTTGGTGGTGCTAACACAGTGAGAATAAGAAGAATAGAAATAAAACACTATCTTACACTCTAAGATTTCTTGCAATACAAGAAGTATATATATATAGAACCAAGGTTTGCTTTTGTGTTCTGTTTTGTTAATGTTTTTATTTTTCCCCAAGACAACAGCAGCAGGTATCTAATTTCTTAAGTTTGAGCTTATTTGCATTCTTGGCAATGTACCCCCCCAGCAGCATGTCCCAGGATGGACAGTGACTCAGAGGTGCCATCTCCTAAAAAGAGCAGCTTCATGATCCCAAGAGGGTCATAAGTGTTCTGCTGAATAAAAGCAGGAGGAGTTCACAGAAACTGCAGTCCATTCTTTTTGTTGGTTTTCAGGGAGGTACAAAGAGAACTTCAAAACAGAGCAGGAGTCTGTCTCTGTTGGCTGTGACTGCATCTCTACAACACCCAGTGTGAGGGATGAAATGCAGCCCAGGCTGGCAGACTGTCCAACAATCAGCAGACTGACAACACACTGAGTTGTTCAGTGCTAGAGGAACTCCAATGCTGTTCTGATGCACCCAACTTCCCAGAAACACAACCTACATCTCCAAAAGAAACCCCTAGGTTTTACATTTTTCAACATAGTTGTGAGAACTGTGTAATTTATTGTAACTTGGCAGAACCAAACACATGTTCCTGTATTTGCCAGGATCAAATGCAGCTGAAGAGCATCATTAGCAGACCCCTCTTTCAGGCTGATCCAAGATGTTTCACTCAGTGGGATTGGTTTTTCAGCTTCATGTGCTCATATTTTCAGTTCTACTTAGAAGGCTTGTCCTAATCAGAGCAGTGATTCTAGGGATTTTTCAAGGCATGTTAAGAAAGCATTCATATGTGAATAACTGTTTTGGAAAAACAGTAAATTCCTGTCATATCTGGATTTCATTTTACTTCCAAGAGTAGAAAGCCTTAAAAGTTTAAATTTAAAAAGCCCCAAACCAAAAGACTTTGTTCTCATTTTCAGCAAAACTAAAAGCCTAATGCTTTCATCTTGCCACAAAAAAAAAAAAACACATGCCTAAATGATGTTGAAACAATTCTACTCTAAAACATTCTCCTTGGTATCTTAATTCTCTCTACAATTTTCTTAGCTAAACTTGTAAGTATGAAATAATTGAACATAAAAGCAAGCTAGTTCTATCTTCATTTGTTGAATAGATTATCATCTTAATCAATTTTGCATTGATTCTTCTCCTCTCCAGGATAAACTAAAATAGATCTACAAGATGTGCGTGACCCTAGTCTTCATAAAAAACAAGGAAGCTTATAGGGAACAATAACAAAGTCTCTTTGTAAGGGATTGAACTAAAATAAATAAACACTTCTCAAAATCCACTGTTGCACCAGTGTTGTCAAATACTCACAAAAGAGCTCAGTTTGGCCATGCATTTGTGTTTGTATACATCCATTTGTGTTTGTATACATCGTGTGTGCACATATGCACACAGGAGTCAGGATTCTACTTTCCTTGTTTATAATAAGTAAAAATGTGCACACACAAGTCAGGATTCTACTTTCCTTGTTTATAATAAGTATAAACTCTATTGGTAAATCATGCCCTTTGAAATGGCTGAAAGGCAGTTAACAGATCAACAGTAATACTCACAGGTGAACCAAAGTTATGCCCAACCTCGTGAGCAAAAGTAATGTGAGAAACCTTGGGAGGGACATGAGAGCCATAGTTCTGCACAGTGATGATTCCAGTGTTCAGAGACTTCTTCTTCCCATCAGAATACAATTTGCTTTTCTCACATATTCCTCCAGAACTCCCTGCATTTATACAAAAGTACACCAGTTAGGCATTTAAGGAAAGAAGTACTGTGTTACATTTCTAGTGACATCCAGAGCAACCAACAGTCTGTCTCCTCAGTGCAGGTTTACAGACTAACAGTTCTTCTGTATAATTAATAATAGCACAACCTTGAAAGTAGATCAGATTTGTTCACACTAATGCTCTCAGCACTGACTGGATACACTTACACAAGAAGTTAGCTGGTTTAGAATAGCTATTAAGAGCTATTTTGGGCTTTCCCTGCATGGACAAGCCCTTATTTCATCATACCTGTAGTACCAGACTAGCAGGGTTCACCACAATCTAGATCCCATTTGGATTTCACTGAATAAAAAAAATCCACAGTAGGTTTGCTGGAGATCCTCTCTCATAGCAAGAGCATTTATAAAAAGTGCCTCCTAAGATTATCCACATATCATTGTCAGAAAAAGTGACTCATTTTTCCACTACAAAGCTGGAAATGCTTTTGATGTGCCACTTAATGAGACCCATGTTTAGAAGGTCAACAGTCAAGTGCATCACACTTACTATTTGGAAAAGTCTAAGCATTTTTACTTTAATTTCACCAAATTTTCCCATAAATTGGGTTTGTACCGAAGCATTATCAATGTTCTAAAACTCAGCTATTTTATTGCTAATGTAAATGGTGCCTAAAAATGGTGTCTAAAAAAAGGTTTCCCTTCTGAAATAGTTTCATTCCAGTGACATATCCCACTTGACCTATGTCAGTGTGTGTGTTAAGGACGAAAATCTCTCAAAGCAACTTCATTTTTCTCAATTAAATTTAGTTATGGAAGCAGTGCTTATGGAATGCACAATCCAATTCATCCTGTGCCTGCTCAGTCTGTACATTGGACTGGTCATCACAGACCCAGTTTCTCATTTCCATAGGCCACCTGTACATTATTTTTCCTATGGTTCTTCCACAGTCAATAAGGTCAGTCCACACAGGTCCCTCTAACATACTTACTTCAATCATGGGTCCACTGATCTCTTACCTCTCTGAATACCCTAATGATACTTATTTGAGCTTTTTAATCTTCTAAAATAAAAGTCTGAGACTCTCATCCCACAACAGTTTTTTATATAGCTCCAGTACTCTACAAAGAGCAAAGTACAGCTGTAAACAGTGAGGTTATAATGTATAGCTACATCTCATCAATGGTTTCATGTTTCTTCCACAATTACTCAAATTCTGCTAAAGCTCTCGATAATGTTCTCCTGAAAGTATCCAGTCTCTTGCAAAATCCCACAGAATTTGCTCTCTTTAGACTAATTTGTTATTATATATAAACCATTTAAGGGAAGAAACAAGGAAAGATTGTTCCTTCTCAATTCCTGATTTTGATTTATGTGAAAGCTTCTACAATTTGGAACCTGTGATGAGCTATAATGAATGAATTTGTATTTATTCGAATTTAAAGCGTAACAACTTTCAAATATATCATTTATAAAACTAATATACCTTATAAAACCAATACACAGAGGACAAATATCTTGAGATGCTGCACACAGGAAGACCATTATTTGATCTTTTTACATCAAGGGACATACTTTAGACCAAAAATACACAGCTAGACTGAAACTAATGAGAATCAGTTCAGAAAGAGTCACACAATATTTATTCTGTTATCTCCCAGAACAAGATCTCAAAGATTTAGAAAAAAAAAAATGCTTTCAGTATTACCTAGAAAACCTAAGGGTTCTGCAGTGTAGTTCTACTCTAAAACTCAAACTGCATAGTTGTAAGCTCTGCTTATATAGAGCAGAAATATTTGTTTCATCTGTCACTTTACTGATCACTAACACTTATCATAAATAAAAAGCAATCCAAGGAATATCACCTTTATATCAAAAAATTGTTTTCCTTCATTGTTCACATCTTGCTCATCAGAAATACAGAAATATCAGCTGAAGTGACACATGACAGATTGAAAAAAAAAAATAAACAAGCCATACTTAATCAAAATTGGAAAGGTTGGTCAGGAGATTTTTTGTGTATTTGCTGTCAATTTAAAGGACACAGTTTTTACCTTTCTTCTAGTACCTACCTATAATACCTTATTTCATAGCACTGAAGGTTTGCAAACAATTACCTGAAGGGGCTCCAACCCAAGCCAGACCAAGGACTCCATCATCAAAGTCACGGTCTGTGAACACATAGGCCAAGCAATAATCATCATGATTCTGCTCCGAGTTCAGCTCCAGAAACTTCTCCACACCAATGTTGGGGAATCTAAAGGGATTGGAAGAGTCCTTCTCATCTACGGTTGTGTTAATCTAAAAGTAAATTGAAACAAACTGTAAGACATGATTCATTTCCACTTGCATGTGCCAGCTGAGAGCATTACTGCTGTCAATACCTTGCTATGGTACAGAGTTTAAGATGTTGCTTAAGATTTGTAAGCCTGGAAAAATTACCACCCCAATATTTGGAAAACAAGGTTTTCCAAATGAAGAATTTCCAGTGGAGAATTGCATTTGTGTAGTAAATCTCCACTCTCTTATATCCTTCTTCTTCCTTTCCCCATCAATACCCAGAAGTTTATATTTGTACTCTTAAATCATCACTTTTTACAAGGAACTTTCAACTTGGATAGCCATTATCTGTTTTAACGTTCTTTGGGAGCAGCAATACAGCCCATTCACCACACAACAACACTGCTGAAACACAAGCAAATTGATTCCTAGGAAAACAAACTGACTACAGCTTAATACAGAAGCAGTGGGCTTTTGACAACAAACACTAAAATAAAACCTAATAAATGGTTTAGGGCACCTTTACCACAGACACACTTGTGTTAAAGAACCATTATAAAACAATAAATAAGTACAAGTGAACAGGAACAGGACATTTGAAAAACACAGCCCCTCAGGATTCTCAGGGAAGCTGAAGGATTTCCAGTACAACTTACCCTTATTCGTTTCACCATGAAGCTGATGTTACGGATTCCAGAGAAATCTGTGGACTGGTAAATGGTGTCAATGGCTTTCACATGGCTGGATATCTGTCAAAACCAAAAATATCTGCAGTTCAACCATCCCTGCATCACACTACAGCTTAGCTTGAATAGCCACAGCTGCAAGGCCTACACTTCTACAATGAGGAACTCTAACAGGCCTTTTTAATCAAATGCTGATGGCAAATAATGGAAATAAGTCACTACATAACCAGCAGTTACTACTACAGTACTTGCATTCCCCCCATGCCAGATAACACCAAAAGATTTTGCCATTTCTCTTTTTACTTTTTAAACACAATTCTATCAACTACTCTGATACCTCTTTGTGATACTCCTTCATTCATTGCTATGGCAAGACAGCACTGCAGTTGAAACTGTATTCAAAGCACTGCATTTCTTTTTTGGAGAAAAAAATTTACTTGTTACAGCATCATTCTCTCATTTCTGGTAGAACACAAACGTGAAAAAAACAATCATTTATCTTTTCTAAGAGCACACAGAAATGCCACCTCATTAAAAACCTGACTTTGAAGGCAACTTTGGAGCTTTGAAAAATGTAACTTGAGTTGTGTATGTACAGTGTAATGAATAAATAGCAGAAGTCAGATTTGGAAGTGGCAGTGAAACTTTAGACTTAAGAGAAGCATGTTAACATGCCAGCTACATTTTCAGCAAATTATCAGCAAAAACACCAAATCAAACCAACCCTTTTTCCAGTTAATAGTGTATTGACAAATGAAAAGCATCTGCCTTTAGCTGCCACTGCTTTTTTAACCATTCACTGCATCAGATACTGCAGGAACAGATCTGAGCACCATCAGCTTACAGTGGTTTGAGCTAAAGTTTCAAAGGGAAGGCTGTGCAAGTGTTAAAACAGAGGTCTGGCAGGCTGTCAAACAGAACAGAACTCTTCAGGAAGTATTATTTTTCTGAGCATGAATTGAGAATAGTCAGGCTGCAAGTGCTGCTCAGAGGTGCTAAACACCACAGCTGCCAATAATAACCCAAGGAAGCACAAGGGCCCAGGACTTTTGTCACAGAAACAGCATCTTTTTAGTGAAATAAAAAAGCTGCTTCAATAATGTCAAAATCACTTTAACAAGTGCAATAAGACATCTAAAGCAAATAAGCAAAAATACACACAAAAAAGTTACGTGACACTTATCAGAACTAAACAAAGGAAAAGCAGATAGTTTAAACCAAAGGGACTGGAAATACCTGTGAGATTACAGCTTCCCTGGTTCCATAATGTTTGTAGAACAGATGATCAGTCTGGATATACAGCTGACAGGTATTTTTTTCAGCCTGAGTGGCACGTTTTTTCCTTAAAAGCTGTGGCCCATCGTTCTTAGGCTCTTCAAAAGGCTTCTACACATACACAGGAAAGGAACACATTAATTTTGTAAATCTACACGCTGCACTAGATCACCTAAAAACAGCAGTGGATTTTGCTAAACATCCTCTGCTAATACAAAGGGACTTTCATTGTTTTTCTTGAACTTGGAAAGTTTCATGAATCTCGAATTAAGTACGTTTTCAAGTATTTTTACTGAAATCTTAGCAAAACACTTCTGTGCATTTCATTTTATATTACAAAAGGCAGTCAAGGTTAAATATTGTTAATAAGACCCTCCCACTCATATCAATTTCCCACTGAAAGCACTCAGATATCCCAAGTGTGTTACATTAATGTAACTTGAAAATCTAAAAGTTACTACTCTTTAGAATGAATATATTTCTTGGAGATCAAGGGCTCTTGAAAATCTTCCTTCTCAACTGCAATAAAGTATATTCCTCATCTTAAGCTTGATTTCCACAGCCATCCAAAATCCTAACTGTTGAAAAATTTGAGATCATGTAGGCTATAAGTTAACACATCTTTGCTACAGAAGCAATGAGAAAAAGAATTTACAAAAATTATGTGAATAAGAAACCTCCAGCAATAATTTAAGTGTCTCACAATGTGGAAGGATGATGACTGACCAAAAGTAAACGACACAACATACAAGAAATAGGAAGTTATCACACTAACTACTAATCAACATAATCCATTAGCCTGTATTGTACCTCTGTTGTTGGTTCTTCTATACCAGTCATCTGGTACTTCTGCATTCTTTCAAATACTGAGTGATCTGCACAACCTCCTTGTGGTCCATATTTATGTGGATATTCTAAAAAGAGGAAGGCCAGGTTGAGTTTTCAAATTCCAAGCAGAAGTCCAAAATATGGCTCTATCACTGCAGCTTATTCAGTTTGTGTCCTCTATTGCACATGTGGATTGAGGGAAGCATTCTTAGATTCAAGCTTTATGCAGCTGCCTTTTTTTCATTAAACATTTCTACTAAGATACATTCTTACTTTTACAAACAAAACAAAATTCACAATTGCTTCTTAACATTGTTTTCTTACAGACACAAGAAAATATGATGAGCAGTGTCTTAACATAGGAACGAGAACCATCACTTAACACATCTGTACCCATGAGCTTGAAATAACAGCAGCCTTCAAAAAATGAAATCACAATGGAAAATTGTCAGAGATCAAGTATACTAAAGACTGCTTGGATAGAGAAAGGGGTTTTTATTTTACTCAGTAAACAAACTAAGAAACCTCGTTAACATCCTTAGAGGGTTTCACTATTTTATTCATCTTCCACAGAATTGTTGAATTTTTTTTTTTTACATTATGCCACTTAATTACCAACACATAAGAACCAAAATGCTAGTGATCCTTGGTTTTCAACTCAAATCTACAATTCAGCATTATGAGTTTGCTAGCAATGTTCTTGACAAGGTGAAGTGCATGATTTCCATTCTGGAAACAGTGCAGTTAAGGATGAGATCAGTGTGTGCATGTGTATTTGCACGTGTGCAGATTGGAAATTCAGAGTTACACAGTACAAAATTACGGGTATATTTGAAAATTTTACCAGCAAAGTAAAAAAAGACTGAAATGTTTTCGGCTCCTCCTTCCTGCAGCCAACTGTTTAAATTTTAAAGATGAAACTGCCATACTATGTGGGTACACATCAGGTGAACATGGTGGAGATCCAAACCAGCTTAGGGAGAATATCATACACATGCCTGTCTAACAAGGGCAATTCTTTCAATGCTTGCCAGTGAAGATCTTATTGCACAAGTGAATGTGTTTCAGACACACAGAGTTCGGCTTTGGTTAGGTTAGGATCTATTAGAGATCTGTAAGCAATCTGTACTTGCAGAAGCTTCCTTTGGAGATGAGTAACACTGAGGAGGCCTTGTCCCTTCAGATTCTTTGCACATTGGATCCCATTATAAACTGGTGCCCAAGTAAGAGAGAATGGAACACAGATTATGGGAGCCACAGATTTAAATAATTAATAATTCCATTTCTGTAGGGCAAACCACACAGCATCATCTCAACAGAGTGGAGGTTTTGTCAGAAATGTGTAAACTTCACTGAGGTTTGCTTTTGGGAATTGTTAGCAGTTCATTTTTTATTTTTCTTTGGTGTTTTCTGTTTGCTTTTAAAAAAGAGTGAAGATCCAAATTCACAGAGTAAATAGAAGACTCGTAAGAGTGGATTTATAAAGCCTAAGACCTGTCACCAAGGACCTGATGTTCACCTTATAAGCATTTCATGTGATTTTACCCTGGACTTCCTCTGGTTCTGTGGAGATGCACCCTTGGAGTATGGACTGTGATATGGTGTCATCTGACAGCTGCCTTTAATTATCTTTGATTCTCATTCCTGCTCCCTGCAATCATATCTTATGATACTCCTAAACTATTTCAATATACAACTTACCTTGTAATTTTATTTAATTACTTTCTGCATATTAGTTTCAACTTCTCCCACCGCACAAATGCCATTTTTGAACTGCTGTCTCATCACATTCCTCCAGGCACAGTTAGACATAGCACAGTGCCAGGAGAGTGAAGAGAGAAAAAGAGAAAAAAATGCTCTTTAAGTCACCTCAACCAATTTGCTCAAGCAGGGTAGTGGGACACTGGCTTGGCTACAACCAATATTAAACAAAAAGCACCATGCTCTCTTGAGGTCACTTTGTAATTTTGGGGACCCTGTTTAATATCACCAGATCGGAATTACAAGCAACAGATTATAAACATTATCTTTTCCTTCTGCATCTCTACCACCCTTTTTTCCACCCACAATAGTATTAAAAAAAAATCTGCTGTTTTTATTCTAATGAAAATTCTCATTACCTACTTCCCAGTTTCACACCCCTGACTATTTACCTCTGGAACAAGAGCAGGTTATCCAAGGGTAGGAGCAATGGACAGTCCTGCCTTTCCACCAGCACATTTCACCTTCAAAAAACCATCATACCTTTAAAGCAACTCCTGCAGGAACCCCACCCTGTAGCATTATGACAATTGTCAGAACAGTACTAGAAATAAATGCTCTCAGTGCATTACACAAAATAATCTGTCTTTTCTCTCTGCCTTTTTCCCAAAGAGGTTAGGAAATCCCTTAACTACCTTTTTAATGCTGACTGCCTGCAATTCAAATAAATATTTCTCCCTTCAAAAGTAATAATCTACTAAGAAACACTTTAAAGGTATGACAGTAAAAATTATAAAACATTGAACATGAAACAGTCTGCAACAGCAATTGCCAAGGTTTTGCATGTGCTGGAAAACCCCACATGGGCACATTAGAAACCACCTTGCTGAACACAGGAGCCAGGCTATGGGAGGGTTCACTTTGGAACCATGTCTAACTTACAGGGAAAGCTGCACAACAAGTTTGCTTTTGCTAAATGCTGCTTTGCCCCCACATTGAGAAGGCACCATTCCCTCTTCATCTTTTGAGAACTCCTGTTTCCATCATCCCCTGCAGCAGTTCCATTTTTATATTTCTGAGGCTAAGCAAGAACCACATGCTGTCAGATGACTTGGACAGTTTTGGCCCACATGACACAAGTCTGATCCATGCTCTTGGGAAGCTTTTAAATGCCCTGGGATGTGCCAGCTCTTTGGGATCAAGAGCTTCTTAGCCTATCTCTGCCACAACCCCGAGAAGTGAGAAGGAGAAAACACCTGCCTTCACCATGAAATGATTGCTTACAGTAAATGCAGAGTTGAGAAAAAACAAGAAGACTATTTTCCAACAGAGCTACAGCAGAAAGGGTTAATAACAGATTTGATTTTCTAACTAGAGAAAATCATTAGGCAAAACAAATACCTTATTTTTCTTTTCCAGTATTGCCCACTTTCAATTTTTGTACATCCTGACAGAATGTTAAAAAAGAGTAAAAAGTAGAGTGTAACAATAAATCTAAAAACCACCCCCAAAAATCTTGTCATTTCATACTTCCTGACAAAGATGTCTTATTGTAATTAGATGGCAGATGATTATTGATTTTTACAACTCCAGATGCTCAAAATAAGATTTTTTTTCCTTTTAAGAAAATGTACTACCTTCCACTAAGACATTCCTGAACATGTGAATTTTTTTCTTATACTTGTCAGTAAAAAGTACAATCTGTTAAGCATTTAGGTTAACTACTCAATGATTACTGAATTTAGGCATCTGGGACAAGGATATGCCATCAAACTTTCATCAAAAATGATGAAAACTCAATTCTTCAACAGCCACAGATTTGCCCAATACTAGCAAAAGCAAGAGTGTCAGAACAAAATTTTAATGTAAGTAGATACAAAAAAAATCCTTATTACAGATTTTGTTCAAAGCAGTCTGTGACACTCTGCTCCCATGAAAATTGTCAAGTAGACATTCATTATTAAATTGACAACCACAATGTGATGAAAAAGAAACCAAGTTCTCATTAATAAAATGCAGTTTGCAATGGCCTGTACATCCAGCAGACAGAGCTTTGCAAAATTAAGAAACACTTCACTTTTAGTTCTCAGTTATATGGTTCTTCCATGTTAATTTTCCTGAAGGTCTGAACAGGATCTTCCTGTGCATTGTTGATCTGAGGAAATACAGATTTTGTATTTCACAGCAGGAACTCAGGGGTACACTTGAAGCAAATAGTATTTAAACAAAGTAAATATAGTTCAAATGAACTTAAAGAAATGTTTTCAAAATGTTTTCATGCAAACAGCAATTCGCATCTTTCCAGCCTTAAATTATAAAACAGTTTGATCAAAGAGTGGTTTAGAAACTAAAATCATTCAACTTGTGTTTCAAGTGGTGAATAGAAGGCTGGCTTCCACTGGTCACCAGATCCACTGTAACAGACAAAAGCTGCCTTATAAAGTTGACAATATAATCCCCATTTACAAAACAACTTTTGTTTAACTACTGAATAAGAACTCATTGAGATGCTAATCATATGTTGCATTGTGATTTCTGAAAAGCACTAAAAAGCATATTGTTTCAAAAGGCTGAAACATGGGTGACCAAAAAATACCCAAATTAAAGCAAAGATGACTTTTTACCTCAGTCTCTCCCTAGTCAGAAATGTGAACTTTTTTATTGCTGTTGTCCCATGTAACAAACCAGTGCTTTGACTCTATTTCACCAGAGTTAGAGAAGATTAGAGTAAAAACAACAAATTAGCACGCTTGCTTTGATTTTTAAAGCTGCTATAAAGCTTCGCTTTTTTGAGTCGTTGGGAGTTTTTCTGGAGCTGCAGTTCAATGCAAAAATAGCTCTCATGAAAGGCAAAAATAATTTAGCTTCAAAAGCACTGTTCAGAGAGAGACAGAAGTAGTTGTACACTCGAGATATTTCAGACCACAGGAATCCTGGAGGCATCTAGACACCATGGAAAAAAGTGAACCTATACAATCAGAACACAGGCACATCAGACTGCACTGGCAGCAGCCCACAGCAGTGGAGGGTTTTTAAATAGTGCTGCTTAGATTCTCTCCAGGAGGGGCTATTTTCAACCACGCTGAGCAAGCAGCAGTGCTCACTCACTCGGTGACTTGGAAGCCACGCTGTACTGCTGCTTTAATGTGGGAGAGATTTAGACAATCCCCTCTGATAATCTGACTTTGTTTCTAACTGATGGTTTTGATGCATTAGATTCAGGAGGAAAAACAGTGAAGGCCAAAGCACCAGCACCTGAATAATTAAAAACACCCCAACATATCCTGCTCCCATTCACTTTCCTAAGACATTACTAAGAACCAATTTCATCATTAGCTTTCTCCAGTTCCCAAGTGATCCATTTACTCCTCCAACAGAGATCACTTCTACAAAACAGCAATGGTAACTTCCATAAAATCAATTTATCTGCTTCTTTAAGGTACAGTTCTATTTCTGTCAGTAGTTGATAACAGTGAAGAGTATTTTTAGTCCCTCACTATTTACAGCATAAGGAACTGGGACATGAGACAATCTTCTTGCTTGTCTCACCCTTTGAAAGCTGGGCACATCACTGCCTTAGTCTCCTACTTTCCTCCTCCCCCTCTTTTCAACAACAGGGTTAATAAAACCCTTTATAAAGCTGATGGTGATTTATTTACACAAAGTCCTGTGTAAGTGGTAGTCCATCATTCCCACTACCAAGCAGTGAACTGAACTGTTCAGTGAGACCTATAAGACATAAAAAACTTACAAGTACATGCAAATCATTCACAGAAATGTTAGGAAATATGTATCTTATGGTTTCACAATAGGTTCTTGTAATTTTTTTAATTACTTTTCCTCACTACTCTCCTGCCACAGCAGCAAACCCTGTAATATCCAACTGCACCCAGCAAGGCAAGCTGCCTCCTCACTTTCTGAACTGATTTTCACCAGCAAGGCTTTGCAGCACATGCTGCACCTTCTCTTTGAGAATCAAAAGTATGGAATGCTACCCTGTGAAGTTTATTCTCAAGCATGGGTCTTGTAAGCACAAGGAAAACATACATTGAGTCAGTTAGAAAACAAGTACAGCCCACAATGTACACAAAACTCAGCAAGTGCACTCGTTCACAAGCTCTTTAAAATGATGGAAATTCTATTTGATTTGGGGTTAGAAATTGTGTTTACAGAATGAGACAACAGGAAGGACTCACAGCAATTTTAACGTACCCCAAGACAGCACACATACTGCCACTGAATGTGAAATACAAAAAAATCCACCCAAACTTGCTAAATTTTTAGCAGAGAAAGCTCATTTCTCTGCACTGCATCTATACAAGAGAAGTAATCAAGGAGAGCAATATGCAATAACCCTGTGCTTCTCACTGGCTTACAGCACAGAGAAAATTATAAAATATAAAGCCAAATCACAATCAGAAATCTTCCTCATCCAGCTTCCTACTCTTTGACATTTCTTTTCACAATGCAGTCTTATTATGACGTACTTTGAAAATGATTTGTACATATATCATCATCAGAATTGTTCAAGCGACTTCTAATGATCTAATATAAGTCCCCTCATCCCATTCCAAATGAGATTTCAAACTCAAACCTTCTAGAGTTTGCACAATGGCCCAACGGGACACATTTTTAAACAAAGTTGTGGTTTAAATTGATTTTTAAGCAAGACTGAAGTCGTACATAAAGTTAGCTTGCAAGACAGTTTATTAGCTTCAATAACCTAAAGATAATCTTACACTGACTCTCTGCCAACACCTACTTGGAAGGATTCAAACTTGGGATCCACAACTTTATCGCAGTATTTTTGAGGTTCAGCATGAAGTTACTTAGGCATCAAATAAAACTGATTTGTATTATACCTGGAGACTGATCATACATAAACAAGCAGGTGGAGTGCAGAACTCTGATGCAGCAGTTCTGAAGATGTAGGAGCATTTCATGGTACTTTTTCATCCTTCTGGGCATTTACAACTAAAGCTAGATTTCCAGGGCCATACTTGTCAAATTTCAGTACTATCTTCTGTGCACTTCCATCAGCTGCTGTGTCAAATGGGACATACTGGGTGCCACCACCTCTCCCAACCAGCTCTCTGAAGACATGTGACCAATGCATGTGGGGGAAGCTTTTATTTCACACAAGTGCCACCTTCACAAGATATAGGTAATTATTCAGAGGTTTGAACCTTTATTATCTTTTATTTTTCAGACCACGGGGAAGAACAATCAGTATAGATCATTTTAAAAATGCATTTTTCAAAAGAAACACGTACCCACTGGGTACAAAATGTACTTGCTCACACATTTAACCCTGACTGCTCAGGACTTCTTTAAATGGCAGACTCACTTTGGTTTGCCAGAAATCTCCCTCACCATAATTGCATATGAATCACTCCAGGACAGCACAATTCACAGCGCCATACACAAGAAAAAATCTCATTTGATGCTTACAAATGGCTTACAGGTTTTGACATTTAATAAGAAAAAATATTTCATGTGTAGCACAAAATGGAAGTACTCACTGATATCATCCTCATGATAAATGACAGAGTGGAACGGGAGGTTCCTGTCCTTTATGTATCTCTCTGCTGGCTCAATATAAAAGGTCCCACTGTGAGTTTGGATGAATCCTTCAAATTTTCCATCAATAACAGACCCATGAGTAAAACTTCCCTGCTCACCTGTTAGGGGACAAAGTGCATTAGTTTTTATTATACTTTTAAAAGCTTTCAGTCCTGTGCAAACTTCAAGCATCACACTACCCAGGGTGTTCAGCAGAGCACTAACACATGATACGTGCACAATTATCCTGAGCCTACACCAGGCCCAACTGCTGAAAACCTGCACGAATTCCAGGGTAATAATATTCTGGATAACAGCAGAAAGACATTCTGGCAGAAAGTTTGTGTCTGATTTTTTAAGACTGAGATTATTCAGCAGTAAGACACACAGTTATAGCAAAATCATAGTCACTAAGCTCAACACCTTCCTAATCAGGTGCATAAATGACATGTTTAAAAAGCATATAATGAAGAATTCAACTATATATTTTAAAGCTGTTACATATACAGCATGTAATCCTGGAGCCAAATCCTGTCCTTATACATCCCTTCATACAATTATAAATTAAAAAACAATAAATCACAGAATCAGAGCACATACTGAACTTTGAAAGCTTTCAAAGAAAGATGTACCTATATTCAGGACATCCATTTTTCTCTGCAAGCATAAGCCTCTTAAAACTGTAGGTAGGTTTAAATGTGGCATAGACTGAATCTGTATTTGAAACAGTCATAACCTGGAAAAGTGCAACTGTCAAAGTTTAATCACTGACAGCTACAATATGCAGCATCTCAACAAGCCTTTTCCATACAAAGGATGAAAAACTACTCTACTCAAAGACTGTTTACATATTCCTCCATTAAAGAAGGTTCAGAATCACACTATCAAATTATCAGGACTTTACTCATCATTAACCAGTACTAATTCCTAATTAACAATTACCAAGAATTACATAAAGTTTATACACCGTACTGAAATTTGGAAAAATATCTTGAAGATGTGCCAAACAACTCCTGAGAGAACACCAAAAAGTAAAAGTAGGCTTTGCAGAACATTCATTTTTGGATATTTGCAAGTGATCTGTAAGTGATCACAGATTTGCTTCAAACTATGTTCTATCAGAATGCACATTAATACAATAAACTTATAAGCCACAGATCTTTGGAAATTTCAGAGTATTTGGAAAGAAATCTCTTGATCTGACTGGAAATCAAGAATCGAGTCCAAAACAGGTTATTTACTGAACTCTGACTTTGTTCATGATCTTTATTACGAGTACCAAGTTAGGTTGAATAAGATAATAAAGAAGATTAAAAGAAAATGTAGAGTAAGCTCAGGGAGTAGGTTCACATGGATCCTTTAATCTGATCCATTAGCAATAAGGAAAGAACCCCAAAACTTTCCTGAAATAATTTCACAAAATAAGAAAAAAAGGCAACAAAAGTCCCCACACACCTGGATTGGTCTGCTAGATGCACATGAAGCCCTAAGTGTGTACACAACTTCCCACAGTTTAAAACAATCACTTCAAAACTGCAGGACATCACTAAGAAAGATCTTCAGCAAAAACACACAGACAGAGGACCAGAGTAAGTCTTAATCCATCTCTTCATCTGCTTTTAATTTCTTAATTCTTCCTTTTTAACCAATTTTATCTTTGGTATTTACTGAAATCAGGTATATTATCCTTAATGATGGTAGCTCTATATTCCTTCTATTCCTTTAAACTAAGAATGTACCTGATTTTTTTTTCTTTAATGCATACAGCTTTTTCCTCTTTTTTTTAGATGCATCAGATTCCTATGAAAAGTATGTTCCTAAGAAGAGTTAAACTTCAAGTTTTATGGATATGAAAATCATTAGATAAAATACTCACTTGTTACGTGTGAACTCTTACATGAGAATAAAAGCAGATGGAGTTCAAATGCACCAGATGCATTAATAAAGTTTAACAATAATCCAATCATACAGATACTCATTTTCTGCATGTATTACTAAAAAACTCCTTTTTAAAATTACTGCACTTTCATCCATTTTAAAGTGTTGTACTTACCATAAATGTGTCCAGTGTAAATATGGGAGGTATCATAATCAATCACTTGGTTTGATATTTCTACTTTAAAGTCATCACTAAAAAGAGATGTATCTCTCTTCATTCGAAGGTTGAATTGTCTGAAGTGAATAAAACAAGATGGTAAATTGGCTTTGAGCTTCAATTACAAAAGCACTAAACAAAGCACTTCTAACCAACATTTTTGTGCAAACAATTTGCAGACTCCGTAAAATTTATCTGTAGAAAATGTTTATACTGCACAAGATTTAGACTGGAAGGATTTTCTTAAGCAAGATTATTTAGATGCTTTTGATACAAGCAGCTAAATTTACAAGATTTAAGCCACAAAACTGGGTTAGACTTAAACATATACATCTAAAATGCTGACATGGACTATGTGCCTGTTCCCATTCCTTCAGAAGACACACATGTAGCTTAAGGAAAAAAGCAACTATTTTACTTCACAGCACTTTGAAGCAGAAGAGATAAGAACAAGTATCTTATCTCACTTATTTTCACTGCTGACATTTAAGTAATGTAAGTGAACTGTAGGTGAGCTAATTAGTGTTTCAACTGAAACTCAAAAAAAATAAGATGGGCACCAGCATCTAATAAAAAATACCCAAACTGGTAAAGTTACATGCACAACTATGTAAACAGTTCTACTCATTGAATGATCTTGTTCAAATTACAGCACTACATTCTTTGATGCAAATCCTACTGCTGATCTTTACATGAAACATAATACATTTTGGTTGTATGAAAACAGGAGTTTCATTCATTGAGGCCAAGCGACATAACTGAAGTGTTTTAAAATGCCTGACATTATATGAGTTCATACCTTGACAACTGTTAGCTTGCTTCAGAATTTCATTTGGTATTCTCTTAAATTTTGTATAAACATACTGTGCAAATACAGATCAGTGAAGTTGTTGAAACTTCAGCCCATTCCAATTTTAGTGTTGATTTTCTTCCTATATTTTTCTCTTTCTGCACAATCACAGAACTGAAGGAGTATTATAGCTATGTCACCAATTTGTGACATAAACAGTAACTCTGATAAGTTGACTACATCTGTGTCAGTCTCCATCTAAAAAACGTGAGCAGTATACCAATGGTAGAGCTGACCTCCACACTGACAGCTACTATCCATCTGTGCTAACAGCAAAATAGCCCAGACAAATAAGCACCACAGTGGAAAGTTGATTAAACCTAATTACTTTTTAGCAATTAGCTGAAGCATACACAAAATATAGCTTCAGTCTTCACTTGTATGTTAAATATGACATCACAGTTATAAGTATTTTGAAACAACTGTACATTACAATGCAAACTTCAAGATCAAAAAAAAGTCATGACTACACTCAGATTCTGGGAGGGGCTGTAGTGACTCATGTTGGCTGTTCTGTAACACAAACAGCATTTCACAATCAAACCATATTTATTATTGCTGCTGCAGTGCCAATAAAGCTTCAAAGCAAGTACTCTCCTCTGGCAATGTGTTAGAGGTATCTACTACAAGGTTATGAAATCCTGAGATGTGGCTGGTGGCTGGGGAAGGTCAAACCTCAGCAATTCCCTGGCACTGGGGCTCTGTGCCAAGCCAAGCAGTGCTCCTATCACAATTTCAGTAGAGATGTATTTTCCTGTTACAAAGGAAGAAACAGTTCAGTACAGATGCACCTGAGTACTGGAGTCACTGAGACACAGGAAATCAGAATTCCTCTTCTTCAAGCTGCCTTTTTACTACCTCTGCCACAACAGCCTTTGGTAACATAGAGGTTCATGAGGAAGAGGAGATAACATGAACAAGCAACCTAGAGAAACATCCTGGGAGAGAATGGTACAAGATTGCACAGCACATAGTTCCGGGGGGGGGGTGGTGTGGAGACTTGAAGCCACTTTAGTGGCTCTCATGGGGCAGAAGTTAAAAATGAACAACTAGAAAGAATTAAGACCAGCACTGATAGGAAATCTGAAGAACTTCATTCAAGTACTTCCAAAAGTTGTACTCACTTGGAATGTAATACACTGCTCAGGTCAGGGTGTTACACAGATTTGAACTCCATTTTAGTTTGATGTTTCCCTGTGACTGAGTTCTCCAGAGTTACTCCAGGATGGATCAGACTCTAACTGCATTTCAACTCAGGTTAAATGGGCAAGAGGTTCCGGGCCCTCTAGAATCTCTCCTCCCATCTATACTATTTGATGGAAGACTTCTTACCATAAGGAGTCTCTAATTCTGTCTCTGTGATGAAATGAAATATCTTCTAATCCCAGCAAGAGCACCTTTTGTGGCTAAAACTACTTTTTTTCTCATGAAAGAAAGGAGGTATTCTGAAAAAACCTCAGTCTATACAGCACTTTTCTTTCAGAAGTGCAAAAAACATTCCTTCAAAATTTTTCTGGTTCCATTCATGTTAGTTTTAAATAAAAACAGAGGAGCAGTTGTTTCTAACACTCAACTGCATCAGCAATTTTCTATGGCTTTGAAGTGCTCTGTGTAAGAGAATGCAGGACTTCTCATGTACTAACTCCTGCCTATGCCAGCAGGGTGGGGGAAAAAACAGACTCAAAGCTAGGGATAGACCAAGTTTGGCTTAATATAACACCAAGTACAGAGATGAGGAGCCCTCCAGCATATCCTCAATTTCCAAGTCACCTCTGTCCTCATCCTCACAGCTGAGCAGGACACTGAGCACATGGTGCTGCTGGGCTGCCCCCAGTGACTCTCATCAAACCACGCTTAGGGTCAGCCTGGAGCTTTGCCTACACAGCCAACACTGCAGGACCTGCTCTGGGGGAGCAAGGGAAGCTCAGAGGAGTCTACTGAAGTTGGGAATGGTTGTTCATTCTGTGTGAGATACCATTCCACCAAAATTACCCTGGCACTTCAAAATGTTAGAAGTTTTGTGCATCAAATTAAAAGTTTCACTAGTTTAAAGATTAGGAAGTCTCTTATTTTTTCTCCTTTAATTTTCACACTCTTCATACTTTCCACATTGGTACATAAACACTACAAATTCTAACCCATGTTGCTAATTATCTTATTAATAAAATTGGCTCTATTTCCAGGATTAAAGAATTACTTAGAGAACTGTTTCAAATACAAAACAACTCAGCTGTGCTTCACACTAACAATTCTCTACTTGATTTCTTAACTTAGTTAAACTATTAGATAACCTGATCATCTTACAGCTATTTTTAGACAGGTCTTTTCTCAGTCATTCAAACATACTTGATAGGAACAGGATTATCTGTCTGCACTGTTCACCTTCCTGATAATGAAAAATCGACAAATACTCCTTTAGTTCTCCCCCACCAAAAGAGGGAGTGGGAAACAGAGACAACTTGGGGCTGCAGGGGGGGAAGGAAGTGAGAGTGGAGGAGGAAACAAGCACCTATTCATCTCTACTTGAAATAATTAACAACTTTAACAAATGACCAAACTTTAAACATAAATTCCAATTTTATGACTATGCAGAGACATCTTAATGTACTACTGAGAAGTGCCAATGAAATAAATTGCATTGAAAAGATGCCACTTTATAGGTGTGGAGACTCCAAACTGTAATAAATGATTCAAACAAATGGATAGTTGGCGGGAACCCCTAAAAAAAATCCAGTTTAACACCCTAATTTCTCAGTCAGAAATTTCCAAAGACCCTACAAAATCCATTTCAGTATCTCACCCTGTATAGAGGTCTTCCTAACATTCACTCTTAACTTATTCAAAGTTAGTATTTCTTCTTCTTTTTTGTAAGGAATATAAGACAGTCCCAATCCTTTTCAAAATGATGCAAAAGAGAATGCACCTCAGTTTTCTTTCCTGGCTTAAATCCAGTAACTTCATGAATTCTTCCAAGGACAGGAGACTCCAGAGAAGTTAGACAAATTTATCTATATCATCCCTGAATATGGTTTCTAAAGTAGCCACAGTGGAAGAAATAAGAAGCTTCAAATAAGCCTTTTAGTAATTACTATTTCTACAGCACACACTGAGTTCTCAGAGTAAACTAAGCAATTCCCTGGCCTGGCTACACACCAGGCAGCAGATTAACTAATTTCAGAAAAATAATGCCTCTTTTATTTACACACGTACTCCCCTGCAGACCGCATTTCCCAGCAGTAGTGATTCTATACAACAGAATTAAATCAATTCAGACAAAGTTTTGACCTTGCTTATTTGTTACTGCTTTTATCTTACAGGTATCTGTAACAAGCCATTAGTTGGTTACTAAATGGTTGCTCATTTGGTTGAGGACAGAATTTTGTTAATACTGTTTTTTTAGAGAGAGAGAGAGAGAGAGAGAGAGAGAGAGAGAGTTATATAATCTGCTTTGATAATAAACTACATCTTATTCATTAATGACAGTACCCTGAAGACTATCAAGAGGTAGATTTTTATTTCTCTCTAGCTTACCTCAGGGAGACTATCTCAGATTTGAAAAGTATGTAACATACCAACTCAAGTCATAATTAAAGAAAAAATTTAGTTGAGAGCACCACACTGAGCTGAACCCCTGTGCTTTCCCATGGGCTTGAGTTATGTCAATCCTGTGCTCTAATCAGAGAAAGCATTTTAAAAGAAAAAAAAAAAGCTGTTTACATATTGACAGCCTTTGGTAAAACACACATTAAGGTTTAACGTGCCTAATCTACTATTCCATTTCTTTTTAGTGCAAGTTATCTTCTAAGATTAGTGATTTCACCACAATGGAATGTGGAACTGGTAACAAGTCTGCAGACCTTCCCAAAACTGGCAGAAAAAGCCACTACCAGTGGGGCACTAAAGGGCACTTGGTGTTTCCCTCTTCTGTCTTTTCTCAGTCAAATTGCTGTAACCAGTGTCAGGCTGAGAGGCAGAATCACTCAGGGACCAGAGGAGGTTGTGGAAAAAGGAAAAAATGAAAAAGGAAAGAAGGAGATGGAGGAGTTACTCCACAGCTGGAAGAAGTGGCTGGGCAAAGGAACCAGAAGGTGGTGGTTTGGCAGCAGTGTGGTGTGTGACTGGAGTACAGGGAGAGTCCATTGAGGTTCACACTCTTTTCTTCTCAGTAGGAATCAGAAAAATCCTTGCAGCTGTGCTTCCATGAGCCTCCTCACAGGTCAGGATCTAGAAGATACTGTTCTGCTTGAGGTGCAAGTCTTTTATCCTTACTTTTTTATGTAAGAACTCAAAAGACTCTCTTCTCTGAAAAATGGGAGGTCTATAAATGGAGGGGGATAATAACTTGAGCTGTTCTTTCTAACTGCTTCAACATCAGACATCCCACAATCTAAACTCAGTTCCCACAAGACTCTCAGACTCATTCCAACTCTGAAGTATATTAAGTAGAAAGCAGCTTAACAACCTAATAATGGGTTTATACTACCCACAAGTCTACAGAATCATCACACATGGATATTTTTTTACACTGTTTTAACCTACTATTAAACCCACACAGCATACTCCATCACTTACTGATAATTCCCATGGTCCTGCTACCTACAGTACAGAAAACCTATCTCTGAAACAGCACATGATAGGGTCTCCAGGTGTATCATTCTTTCTTTTACCTACCTAGATGCACATAGAATCATCCTCTAATAAGTCTTTATCTAAAACCCAACCTCTGCAGCATTTTAACACTCAGCAATCCCAGCTGGAACAGTGGCAGCTTATGTTTTTTTACCTCTGACACCTCTAGGATGACACTTGTGGTTATTCAGAGATTTCTTTCCTGACCTTCAGAAGTCAGACTTGCTAAGCTTGGTATTCCAGAACACTCCAGCTGAGGATACAGCCTTCATCCCAAGCCATTTGCCACTCATTATTCCTGATATACCCAGCTGCAAACACATCAGCTAGCTGAGATAACACAAACCACCCAAGGAGGAGCACAAGTAGCTACTCGTTGGCTAATTTACACTCTGAGAAAGTCAGTCAAGTATCTCTCTGTCCTGAAGAGGATGTTGTACAGATTTTAAAGACAGAACAGTCTTTACTTAAGGTTATGGGGTTTTTCCCCTTCCAGTAAAACTTTGGGAAGTTCAGTGCAGATTCTATCACTTGGTTTCCTGTTTATTGAAGAGAATCTTTGCGTTTGTATTTACTTAAAGTTGGCCATTTATATGCAGTGCCATGTTCTAACAAAAACAAGAAATCAAAAAAAGAAAATGGGTAAAGATGTACTAGAATAAAATCACAAGCGAAGTCACTACATGAATTCAAACTACAAAAGTAGTTTAGAAAGAAGCTTTCTTAGTGAAACAAGAAAAGACATAGAAGAGAAACTTGCTAGCTGATAATACACTGCATTTCCTTTTAAGAACATGGCTTTTTGAGAGTAAGGTTTTATCTACTAAAGTTTGCTGGCCAAGGAGTAAAGCTGTAAACCATTAATACCAATTTTAGCAGTTCAGCTGGAAACCCTGCACCTCAGCTGGGCTGTCTCACCAGCCCAACACCACCATACCAGGGGTTTCCTACACACATCCAAGTAAAACACCACATGCCTTTTCTCCTGAGGGCTACACATAATCCAGTTGACTGTATTTAAACCCATAAAATGTAAAACATCTCACCCACAGATCCAGCCTCTAAAATTTTTTAGTTTCATTTTATCTAAAAAACATGTAGAGAACTCAGATCCCTGCTTCCCAACTCTCTGCAAGATAAAACTACTTTACCTACGAGCACCAAAATAGGGTGGGTTTGGTTTTGGTTAGATTTTGTTTGTTTGTTTGTTTTTTGACAAAACAGGTGTAGAAAGTGAGACCTAATTCACAGGTCTCTTGCCTGGCAAGTTATTTGTCAAGGTATATAACTTAAAAAGTACAACAGATGGGTAACAATTGAAAAATTGTCACAGAGCAGTTAATAACTCTGAAAACACTATAGCAAGAACTAAAGAGATCTATTTTTCTCTTTTTAAATTCAGGACAGCCTAAAATGAATCGCAGTAAGTGAACCCTGCAAAAAATGCACTAAGTAAAATTCATGAAAATAAATCTCCTAAGTTCACAAAAGCCAACCAGTCAGTCTTATCTGATGACCACTAAACCAACCTACTTAAGGAGCTGGTCTGTTTAGGAGTGTGCTAAAGGAACTGGAAGAGACACAACACACACTTCCAGATGAGTCCAGTGACACTGAATCTGCTTTATGTTCAGACAGGCTCATGGAACACAGAAGACAGAGCCAGTTTAGGAACTGAGCACTATGCTGTAGGCACAACTTTAAAAGTACTTTAATTAAATGCCATAAAAAGAGCAACCAGTGTTTAATAAAACCTTGACCTTGACAATATAAAGTCCAGCTCAGTTCCTTCAGTCCATCTCAGCATGGCAGCAAGCTCAGAATGTCACCTTTGAAATCCAACTTATCAAATACTATTTCTGTGCAGGTATCTTCCTTTGCTTTCACAACCTACTCAAATACAGCCAACAACTATCTTATTTAAACACAAACATTTAACAGCTCTGAATAATGAAGGCAATAAGAAATACAGATTACTACAGAACCAAGAATAAACTAAACCCCTCAGACTCAATTAAAAACTCTGAAATTTAGTGGTCCACAGTTTTCCTATTATATATGGATCACGTATAGACCATATATTCCCACAAACATGTCTGAACTCAACCATTTACAGTACTTTTTAAAAAATAAAATTTTAGGTAAAACAGGATGGAAAAATGTCGCTAAATTGCAAGATATCTGAAAGAAGTTCTCAGTATATATTTAATTTAGTAATAAGCAGTGTTATCATCTGTTCAAGTACCACTTGAAAATTCAACTGTGTACTCAAGTTGTGTGGGCAACTTTCCCAAGCAAGAGTCATCAACTAATCCACAAGGAGCACAAGTGGGTGTGGATGGACAATTAACAGGGCAAATCAGGCAAAAAATTAGAAAGCATAAGCTATTAGGAGTGCATTAAATAAAAAGTTGACTGAAAATAGAGTTAAACACTACATAGATACACTTTTTTTCCCCGTTTCCGAATGCATCAGGGTCTCAGGAATTCACTGTTTCATCATTAGTAAAAAAATATGGTTTGAACATCCTAAACATCCTAAATTATGGAGCAGTCTGACCTTACAGTCAGTTTCCAATCAGCCTCCTCAGTCAACAATGGATTTGTGCCTCAGAGCACAGGGATTTAGAATCAATTCCACATAAATATCAACGCTTCATGAGTAATAGTAGCTGTTACCAAAATATAAACCTGATTGTCTAAGGTCTGGTGTCACTGAGATCTGTGAAGGAAGAGGGGAAATTTTTTAGACCTCATTATGGTGGGTGCAGCACCATTTTTATGCAATAAGCATTTTCACCCCACCTTAAACACGACAGATAGAACACAGTAGTTAAGCTAAGGGCTCTGTTTTACACAAGATTATCAGGGGATCTTTACCAATGACAAGATGAACCCTCTCAAGTGGGCTGAAATGTGGACTGCTCCCAGAAAGAATGGCCTCATCCTCCTTGTACCACCCCTTCAAGTCATACTGATTTTTGTTTTCCAAATAATTTTCAGCTGGATCAGTTCCCAGCCCCTGTTCCTTGCCTGGCTTTAAGACAAGGCTGATGCTGGGAATGCAGTCAGGCCTGTTCCTCTCTGCAGCAGTGCACACTTTGGGAAGCCTGAATTAACCACCAGCCTGCAGCTCACAAGTGGCAGCATCAGACTGAAACTTCACTTCACTGTCTTGCAACCTTGCTGGAGATCTAAAAGTGGAGAGGTTTACACTGCGAGGAGCCTCTGAAGCATTTCCACTCTGCAGTCTTGTTTATTAGAACAATTTAATAGGGTAGACTACAGACTGCCTGGGAAGTTACAGCAGAGACGGCAGCAATATGACTCTTCTTTATGCAATAAAATTCTCTAGACTAAAAATCACACCCACAAACATGGTTTTAAGGACAGGGCTTCAAATTTATGATTTGGGTTGCAGTCTTACAGCAGCTAGAAATACCACCCTAATGCTAACCTTCTGGGAGGAGGTACTGAAATTCAGTCATTACATCATAAACCTCCAGTAACAACACTTCATTCCCTGAAGAAATTACAAGCTGGCACAGAAGCAAAACACTTACTCATAAAACAATATTCCAAGTAGATTCAGGAGACCTGATTTTACATTTGCTCTGTCAAACTGCCTATGTTTCTACACATGGCTAACAACTATTTATGAAGTTCTGAATACTTAAATTGTAACTGAAATAATTAGAAAACCAAGGGCATTACACAGTCCTAAAATATATTAAGACAGTGGTGCTGCAAAGGAGGGAGTCAAAGAAACAAAGATACAGACAAAAATACTTTAATTTTCTTCTGTTTCTCCTCAGTTATACAAAAAGCAGGCAATTCTAAATTACAAAGGGATCTTCCTAAATGAAACCTACAAAATAGACACAATTGGTCACACTGAATATCTAACGTCTGTACTGGATCTTATATGTTTAATTGAAGGCAAAGAAAGTCTTCTAACAGCAATTGTCTTTCCCCATGTCAAATAATTACTAAATTCCACAACAGCACAAAAAAAAAATAAATCAGATAACACCAGTACACACAGAACAGGTATTTTCGGCCTATTTTGTAGTTTCAAATGCAATTTGAAGTTCTACTTTTTCCTCAATTAAATCTCCTCAGGCTGTTTGGCATAATTTTTAGAAAAAAAAATAAAAAAATAAAAAAACCAAAGCTGCATTATAAACTCAGAATTAAAGACCATTCTGTTCCCAGTATGCTTCCATTGTTTAGGCTTCAGAGTGCTTTAACAGTTACCATCAGAAGTCTGAATGAGTGATCACAATTTCATACTTATACTGGACATGAGAGCAAATACTCCATAGAAACTGCAAACTGCAATTCAGTGTATTCTAGCTAATGTTACTTTGATGATTCTATTTCACTCTTTACATTTCCCTATACTTAAAACATATATGAATAAAATATTTAAAATAAATACCTTTTTAAACCTCACTCACCTTCCATGAGCATGGAAATCCAGGCGCAAGAACTGCTCCTCGTGGGTTACTGCTCTTTTGGCACGCTGGTGTTTTTGGTGTAACAAATCCACATCGTAGGACAAGCCTTCATAATGTCTAATGTACTTATTTAGAGGATTTCCATACTGGCCTGAAAGAGAGACACAAGTAAGGTTTAGCATATCTGAAAAATTACAGAGGTTGTAATCACACTACTGTGGCAAAACAGTGGGTGATGAGGACCCAAGTTCCACGTTATATCCATTTTAGCTTTTTTCTCCTTTGTACACTTCAGATTCATTCCACTCTGGTCCCACAGACTAGATGTACAAGTGCAGCAGGTGGACTTTGGAAGGCATCTTCCACTTGAATTTCAATCAAAACAAGTGTAGTTCATTTACTCCAAAACCACCCCACAATGCAAAACCACATCACTCTAGACAGGAATGCTTGAGAGATGTTACAGAAATGAACTCCTGATTCAAAATGAGAAGTACAACAGATGAACATCTTTCTTCTGGTCCCTCAGAATTCTGCTTACTTCACTCTACAGTCATGACACCACAATGTCTGCTCAGAATGTTTATATTCTCCATTTGAAATATCCAGGAAAATTAAGAGCAAGCTGTGCCACGTAGCAACACATTTTCTATTACATGGAACGTTCTGCCACACAGAAAAATCTTATTAAAATGTATCTCCAGAGATGTGGATTCGCTTCAGTCTGTTTTGGACATTTCCTTCTAGGGTAATATTTATAACTCACATTAAGAGTTCATAACAGGAAACTCCTATCCTGATGGAGGAAGAGACATGCAGAACTGACCAGAGGCACTGACTAACCCCCCAAAAACCCAAAATACAACTTGTGGAGAAAACCATAAGAACTCTAAATTCTCCAAGAAAAAAAAGGCTATATCGTAATCAGTTTACCAACTCAGACCAACCTACATGTGAGAGTTCTCAGAGACTACACACGATTTTTTTCTTCAGATATTAAAAAAAAACTAAGTAAATTAATACTTCCAAATGCAATGCTTGCATTTAGCAGCAGTGTGCACAAGATGATACTGCCATATCTTTTTAAAATTCAAGAAATGCTATACTGCAGATAAATCACACTCAAATTTCCCCACAGTACCGTAGGCTTCTGCAAATATTGACTCTTCACTGTTAACTGCAAATACAGTCCACTAACAAAACTTCATCCTAATTTTCTCTCACTCTTAGTCTCAAAATACAAGTCCATTCTCATCCAGCTTTCCAGAAAAGAAAGTGTGTCTTAGGTGTCTTAAACATCTAAAATGTGTTATTCAAGCAAGTTACATGAATTCTAACACAAATAAGACACGGGACCATTGCAAAGTCTCAGTAACCAGAAGGAGCTTTGAGGATGCAAGACGTTGTCCCTGTCTGATGTTTCTCTAATTACTTCCAACATAATCCCACAAAATGAAGCATAAGCACCTCCTGTAGCCCAAGAACTTCTTTAAACCAAACCAGATAAGCCTGAGACCATGCACAAGATATGTGAGCCTGACTACAGATATATGCTTTCCAATTCCAGGTGTATGACCCAAGAGTGTCAACATTAAAGCAAACAAGCTTCAAAATTAACTGATATAAGCTAAGACTCAAATTTGTAACTGTGAAATGAACCTAAATCTAGAATACAACATTAATCACTTGTTTGAAGAACTTGATCAAATCTAGGGAGTTAGTATGCTGCAGAACAGGTAAACTTCTGTGCTCCAGAATTAACTTCAACTTTGCTGTGGTAGGAAGCTCTTAATAATTCACTCCTTAAATTGTTACAGACCATTTTTCTTCTCAGTATTGCAAGATACACTTTAAACAACTTCAGGCACCTAAAAAAAAAAGTTCTAAAGCGTGACAACTTACTCAAAACCCAATAACACTTGGGACCTGACCCAAGTCCCATGACCATGTGGAAAGATGAGAGACTGCATGTAACTGAGTCACAAAGAATAGTTTTTAAGTGCTAACTACTGTGACAGGACAGCAAAAGACTATTGACATTAGAAAGTCTTATAACTGTTCTCTCTGTCGAGCAGAAGCAGAGAGGGTTTTAAGCAAAAGCCTTTTTTTCTTTACAAAAAACATATACACTTTCTGTGATCACACAGGGAAACAATGCTACTTCTTTTCCCTTTCTCCAAAACTTAAAGAACTCCTCATGTTTTAAGTACTCTCCTAGCAAACACTTAACACAAACACTCTTGCTGCTCTCTTCTTGCTTTACCAGAGCAGGCTCTTAACACCTACAGTATCACGGCTTTTCCAAAAAGGGACTTCAGACAGGGTTGGAATCAAGGCTTCAACTTACTTTCACTTCCAGAGTAGCTACAGTAATGTTGCTACAGTGTTTAAAGTCTGCAACTGATACATAATCTCCTTTTAATAAAACCAGCTACTTATCAAAAAGGATTATCTTCCTCACAAAGGAAGCTTAATAAGTAGCTCAACCTTGGTAACATAGGAGCCTACAGAATCCTGTGGTAGAAGTTTATGACACTGGAAAGAAGACTTCACTGAGCTGCACCAGGCAGGTACAACTCTAACTCCAGCTCCTGTGATTAGAAGATTCTGTATGAAAAAGGAAGAAGTCTATCCCAGGAAGAAACACCAAACCACGAACATCTAAATGTAGTTTAAGGGAACAGCTCTACAAATCCCATGTGTCATGTCATCAACCAACCAAAGGCAGAATGATGCCTTTCCAGGCAATCCAGTGGAATAAGGCAACATCACCCTTCACCTAAACACTAAGCCAGCAGACAGAAACCTTTTAGGATACAGACACTGAGAGTGACAACTGGATGGCTTTTGAACCTGACAGTATAGTCTTCTAAAGAGTTGCTAAACTAAATGTGGCATTTCCTACGACAAATTCCCTTCAGGAACGAAGCTTTATTCTCGTGGGCTTAGAACTAAACACAAGGAACGACTTTAAACAGAATCAGGCAGAGCATTTAGGCAAACATCTCAATGTGACAGTCCCTGTGAAAGATTTCTGTGTCTGAGGATATACAACTCCTCAGTATCCCTAGAGAGCTGTGAAGAAAGTTATCTACAGTTGTTGTTCTGAACAAACACAAATCCCACTGGACAGGCACAGAGTCTGAGGCACATATTCTCACCTTCTGACTGAGCTCATGCAAAGGGTAAAATCTATCATCCATGTCACTTTAGCTATAAGCTTCCTGGCACACCCTGAGCATCTACATGCAACAGTTGTTTTGAAATGTTACTGTGATGGAGGGGAGTTCCTGATAACCAGAAGACAAATGTCATCCCCACCTTCAAGGAGGAGGGCTTGGAGATCTACAGGTCAGAATAATCTCAGTGTCTGGGAAGATTCTGGAGGAGATCCTTATAGAAGCCAACTCCATGTCCAAAAAGATGACTAGTAATAAACAGTACTGAAAGCTTACCAATGTAAACACAAACATCTATTAATTTTATATATAGATGTATGTGTGTGTGTGTAAAAGACTACAACAGTTAACTTCTCATATAAGGATAAATCAAGCATGCACTGTTCTAAAAGGTGAAGTTTACATTAAATCACTCAGATTTAGACTTGTATGACAAATGCAAGTAGTTCAAACACAACTCAAGTTAGTTAGTGGGGGGAAAAAAGCACAGAATACGGCTTGATAGAGTATCAGAAATTGTTCAGCAGCCAACTCACCAGACAAGTCTTTTAACTGCAAGCATCATCACTGATTTGCAGATTTGAAATGCCAGAACATGATAAATATCTTGTAGAGAATTATTATTATAATTTTAATTAAGATAATCAAAGCAAGATTTACATCAAGTTGTTTTCAACGTAGAGGTTACGTATCTTAAAAAATACTTCCTTTACATGGGACATTAAATAGTGCACAATGCATTCAGATTTAGCACTCCTGTGTTTAAGTCTACAGCAAGCCAGAAATCCTACCATAAACCTCCTGACTTGAACTTCCCTGAAGAATTTCTCCAGACTGTAGTTTCAGAACTGCAGCAGAAGGGCAAGGCCCTGCTGCCCTTTCACATCTACTCTGTTTCTATTCTTCCCTTGCATTGGCACTAAAACTGATTCAGCTGAAAAATGTTCTCTTCCTTCTGGTCAAGTTAATTTTTGGTGAAAGAAAAACATGTAACCAAGAAGTCAAGTCAGGATCATTTCCCCTCACTGAAAGCTCACACTCAGGGCACCAGCAGTGGAAGCAGATGTCTGCTGCTTTTTTTACCTTCTTCCTCTCCACCCTGTTCAAGCTCCAGCTCTTCTTCCCCACCAGGCTGGGTCTGCACAATAAACCAGCAGAAGTCTCACATCTGGTGGAAAATGATAATTTCTTGTCTTGGAATTGGCTCCTCATGGCAGGAGGAGAGGTGGGAAGGCCTGGCTGGGGCAGGACCACCAGACAGCAGGAACTCAGCACAGTGGCTCTGCCACACTGCACGACTGAACCTTTGGATCCTTTAAAAGCATAAATAAACTGCAGTCTGAGGCTCTTGGGCACCAGTATTGCAAAGTTACTATCTAAACACCTGATTTTATTTACTTTTAATTACCATAGGCACTTCTGAAACAACCATCTGACAGCTGTCTTTACCAGACACTGTCTCCCCCAGCCATATAAAATTCATAATGTTTTTATTTTAAACCCCAAATAAATGCTGGAGGCTGAGTGCTGCCATGTTAATGAAGCCTCGTGTTCTTCCCAATTTATAGTAAGGATGCAAACTAAATCACTCAGATGCTGATAGCTCATAAATGCCTTCCCACAACTCCCCCATGTGTCCAGAATAAAACAGAATTTCTCTCGTCCTCACTGGGAAATACATAGTTCAACATCCAGCAGCACCAGACACTAAGATACAACTCAGAAGTCCTAGCAACACAGAAGAGTGTGTTGTACCAGTGAAAACAAGCTATTTATCATAAATTTGCAATGATGGGGTTTTTTTAGGTCTCAGTAGTTCCCTTTTGTGTTCTCTATTTCCCTTTCCCTTTTTTTAATGACTCTCGGGTAGAAGGAGAGGTTTTATTAGTTATTTCCGTTCTTCTAAGAACATAATTATATATGGATAATTAAGTACTGGTTAATATACCTGCATGCATCTCCATGACATGCAACAAAGTATGCTACTGAAAGTTGCCAATAATGTTGCCCAAATTAAGTACCACTTTATATACCTCAAAATTATTAAAAGATCCCTTAAGCCAAGCAATTCCAAGGGTATTGGGGAAAACGCTGATATTCACCTTTTACAAAACAATTCTTAAAATTCAAGGTACATATATCTTATCTCAAGTAGACACCATATACTAGAAGCTAAATTCTACCTTTCCCCTATTACTAACAAAACCAAAGCAAAGTAAATGGTGTGGCTTTTCCTTCTTATACTGTTCAACTGCATTCAAACAGACCTACTGGACCACTGGGTTTATGAAGGTAATTTTTATGCAGTGGAAGCAAAGAAGAAGACTTCTAAGAGAGCCCTAAAAGTGATCTAATGCCAAAACCGGGTCAATCATGTTTCTGGGCCCATTAGGCCAAGTTTCTGACAACTTCTCTGTTTTAACCACACATACATAACATTCAAAAAGCTACAAAGCAGCCTAAGACAGACAGTGCAGCACATTTCATTTGTGATTGCTTTTGATTACATTCCCTTCACATAATTTTAAGAACAATGTAAACTACAACAGAAAATATTGTTTTCAAACAAAACAAAGAGATTTCATTAACCTTTCTCCCCAAAGAAACTATGCAAGTTATGCTGCACCTTATTTTAAATGTTGATTTTGTGATTCATACCGAACTGTGAGCTGAAGTTACAGCTGGTTCTGTTAATCTATACCTTTATATCTAAAGACTATTACAATAGAGTATGTACTGTGCCTGCAGTACAGGAACAAAGCCTTGTGTAATTCTGAAAGAGTTCAAACTCAGGTATCCTGTAAAAATATTCCAATCTTAGACTCAACACACTAAAAAGCAATTTTTTAAAAAGTGCAGACTAATGAAATTTTCAAAATTAGTACTATTTAATACCTATGTGGCTTAAAATTAGACAACTTTACAGACAAGTATAACAGCTTCAAGATCTGTGTAAAATTAATGAGAACAAGATGCACCACACACAAACAAAACAGGTAAATTGTTGGGGCTTTTTCAATTCTTTCCAGTTTGTGCTGCTCTCACAGTAATTTTGTTACGAATCATGAACTTGCCCTTTCCAAACAGATATTAATGCCTGCCTAGAAGAAAGGCATGCACATGAAGAACTTTATTTTCCAGTGAGTAAAAACATTTACAGTATTAAGAAACTCTAGAAATGTGAACACAGATAAAATAGACCATTCTGATCTTAAAAAGCCATTTTAATTTAATATAGAATTACGTTAAATCTTTCATAATTATGTTCAGACTTTTACCAAAAAAGTTCCCTAGGATATTTTGGAGATATGTATTGGCCATTATCTCTAGATTTCTACCCAGCATTATTAATCTTTCTTTAAGGATTTACAATATTGCTAACACCAGAAGGCATGTACTTCTGTTACCTGCTAGTGAGGTGTGCTCCCTAATGCCCAGAAATGTCAAAGGTGCCCATTCTTCTCTCAGAGGAAAGAATTAACAGGAATTTCTAAAGTAAAACGCCCCCTATGAACTTCCTTCTATAGATCCAGAAGACTGTACTTTACATGTTTACTACGATTTTAAGGCATTTTCTGCCTGCCTAGAATTGAACAGTAGAAACAACCCTCACAACTGGTTAATGAATCATTTCAAATCAATTCTGTGCCAGCACCGTTTAGTTCTGAAAACAAAGAGGCCTTGAAAGTATGCCAATAATTAAGACTGAAATATTTCAATAGTTTACAAGAATCTATGAAGGAAAACTCAGCCTTTTGTGCAACCACCCCTAATACAAATAACGGGATGGCTTCTGACCATGTACATCACCTTGCTTTTTATCCCACAGCTTAGCCACAAGTACAACTCACTGGAGTTTTCTTATACTTTAATGCTACTTTTTGAGAACTTGTAAAAGAGCAGGACGCAGGGTTAGTTTCTTTGTTAAGCGTACTCTCGATGTGCACAGATGCAGAGCCCAGATAAACCGGAGAGGTGCCAAACGAAACAGAGGAAGTCGATCTCTACCAGCTGTTCCACCCATACTTCTCTAGAAACACCCTCGCAAGTCCACCCTTTCCAATGCCTGCTCTTTGTACAAAACCGAAACTATTTCCCTGCCATGACTTGACCAATTAAACATTACCAGGCGCGGTGGAGAAACCACCCTCCCAGCTCCCTAAAGCTGGAAAACAACTCACACCGGGATAACGGGATAACGAGACAGTTACACGTCCCCCACAAACACATTCGCGCTTCCCCCCGGCCTGGGAGAGGGGGGACCCTCGCCCAAGGCACGGCCACACTGAAGGAAATAAAAGACGAGTTGGGGTTTTTCCCGAAGGCGAACTTTCCTCCCGCCCGAGCTTCCTGGTGCCGGGGACAGGGAAGCAGCCGCCGGGAAGGGACCGGGCAGCGGCCACCGGGACCGTGCGGAGAGTCCCGGGGGAGGGAAGCACAGCCGGGCAGGGAAGGCACCGCCGAGGGCCGTAGGGAGAAGGGGCCGGGGGAGAGAGGAGAGGAGAGAGGAAAGGGAGCGGTGCCCCGGTGCCCGGCGGGGCAGGTCCCGGGGCAGGGCCGGGGGCGCCGGGCGGGCCCCGCGGCGCGGCCCGGGCGGGATGAGCGGCGGGCGGAGCGGGGACAGCCCGGCCCAGCCGCGGCCCTGCCGTCGGGACGGCCCGGACAGCGGGGCCCGCCGCCCCCGGCCCCGGAGAGCGGGGCGAGGAAGGGAGCGAAGGAATAAAGGAGGGAGGGCAGAAGGGAGACGGCCCCGAGCCAGGGCCCCGCGAGGCCGGGCGGCTCCTCACCTCCGGCGCCCGCCGCGCAGGAGCACAGCAGGATTATCGTCCCCGCCAGATCCATCTTCGCCGGCCGCAGGCCCCGCCGCCACCGCCGCCGCCGCCTACCCACGGCACATCCGCCCCAGCCGGCGCCGGGATGGGGAGGGGCGAGCCGGGCGCCTCCCTCCGCTTTGTCCCCCGCCGCTCCGGAGGACTGTTCCCGCCCACGGGTCGGCCGCGGATCGGCCGGGCTGTGCCGTGCCGTGCTGTGCCGGGCCGGGCCGGGCTGCGCTGGGCGGCTCTCCGGGCAGCTCTCCCGGCGGCGCTGTCCCCGCTCGCTCCGCTCCGCTCCCCGCGCTCCCGCCCCGCTCCCTCCGCCCGCGCGCGCGCCCGACGCGGCCGGCGGGGCGGGACCGCGGGACACGCCCAGAGCGCGCGGCTCGCCCCGCCCCCCGCGCGTGCGGGGAGGGACCGGGGGCCGGAAAGGGGCGGGGCTATCGGAACACGCCCATCCCGCCCGAAAAGGACACGCCTCCCGGAGGGGCGGGGCCTCCGGGCCGCTTCCGCCGCGCCCCGGGCCGGGGAATTCGGGTCCTTTTAAAGTGTAAACACATCGCACGGGCCGCTCTCCTTCGTCACCCCGACCACGTACGCGTGGGTTTCCTTGCAGAAACCAATTTGATTTTAGCGTTTTATTTTGGTTTCCTTTATCCCCTTACCACATACACGTTCTTCCTTGCAGAAATTAATTTAGCGTTTTGTTCTGGTTTCCTTAACCTGCTTACCAGATACACGTTTTTTTCCTTGCAGAAACTAATTTACTTACTTTTAGAGTTTTATTTTAGCTCCCTGACTTCTCCCGATGTGATGTCAGGTGTTGCAGTGTCCCCACTGAACACCGACTTGTCATTTTGAGACTGTCGTGAACAGCCTTCATGAACTCAGCTGTGCAGGAGAACCCTGCTGCAGAAATACAGATGTGACCCATCCGAACAAAATGTTTCATCTCTTGTTTGTCCACGTGATAATTCTTACATCAACTGCGCCATCTCAAAGTTTTATTTTTTACACTAGGGTTTGTGACAAGTTTCTTAGTTTACTGTCAGCCTCTTCTGTTTGTGCTTTTCCACACCTATTGCCACGTCAGAATAAAAAAACCTTCCCCCCTAACACTGTTAGAGTGAGAAAAGCTGTTATATAAATGTACATAGAAAATAAAATTACGGTGAATGCACTTCAGGTAAAGCTGCAGAAGTGTTTACAAGGCCCAAATTAGAGAATAAAAAAAGGGAGGATAAATCCTTATCGTCCCAAGGCTAAATTTAGAATTTGTGATTAAAAGCTGAAGGTTTCTACACAGGGAGAGGAGCGGTTCATCAGGGTAAAGTCTGAGTAATACATCCGCATTAGTTCTTCAGTCATAGAATCATAAAATGCCAAGGGGTAGGAATGGACCTTAAAGATCATCCAGCCCCAAGCCCCTGCCATGGGAAGGGACACCTCCCACCACACCAGGCTGCTCAAGGCCTTATCCCCCCTGGCTGTGAGCACTGCCAGGGATGGGGCATCCACAGCTTCTCTGGGCAACCTGTGCCAGGGCCTCACCGCCCTCACAGGAAAGAAACCTCTTCCTAATACGTAACCTAATCTTCCCCCCTTTCGAGCCGTCTGTTCCATCTCCCACCTTACCTATCGCACTCCCCACAGCCGTATTTTTTACGGTACAGCGGGAAGCCCCGAGCAGCGCCGGCAGGGCCGCCCTCACCTGCTCCCCGCCCTGCCCTCCGCGCTCCCCGCGCGGGCCCCGCCGTGACCCGCGGCCGCTCCCCCCGTCCCTCCCTCACGTCCCGGCGGGGCGGGGCCGGCGCTGCCGCTGTGATGGCGTCGCGGGCGCTGCGCGCGGAGGCGCAGCCGCTGCGGTGCCGATAGAGAGCGGAGCGGCCGGGCCGGGCATGGAGAGCCTGGCGCAGCCCCCGCCGCCCCCGGGCTCGCTGCAGACGGGCGGCGGGGGCGCTGCCGGCCGGCTCCGCCTGGGAGAGGCGGCGGCGGCGGCGGGCGGCGAGGGCGGCTGCGGGGAGGC